GATAACCTCTTTTTCGTTCTACTTCCATGTGTTTACTGTTAGAATGGATGAATTTTATGACTACGTTTGACCAATATTGGTTCTATAAGCCTCTGAAAATACGGAAAGTTACATTCTTGTCCTTTCTCGTTCACGGTGTAGCTACAATTAGTGAACAGCAGGACTGTTAAAGATGTGAACTTATAAAATATACCTGATTGAATGAATGATTAATAAATTGAACAATAGATGATAACCTCATGTTTTGGATAGCAAGAGAAGCTGCGGCAGATAATGTGAGTGAGTGAGTGATTGTAGTGTGGGTATCTATGTGCCGATTGGCAATATATATACATAGTACCTCATTAATGGCAACACCATATAGCTGGTACTGGACTGGTTGAATACTTGGGTAGACCAGTGCTCCACTGTGTACATGTTATCCGGCCAACAAACAACGTCGCTGACCACCCCGAGTTGATTTGAAGCAAACCATCCTGGTACAACCCCATGGATATTCCAGAATATTCCCAGTACTCTATGTAAGTGCTGACAAATACACTTCTGGAGGTGAGCTGATCGTGAGTCATCCCCGGCAGAGTTGCTCATGCTATCAGTCACTGGTCTGCATGGCAATTACTCGAATACTAGTATTTACAGGGTGACTTAACAGCATAGCTATTTGTTATTCTTACAGCGGCGCAAAATAACGTACATCCACTCAGTCATAACAATAGAATGGAGGACACACGTCACCGGAAAGAGCACTGACGGCGCAAAATAACATTCCCCTACTCTGTCATAATACAAAGAATGGAGGACACACTTCACCGGAAAGAGCACTGACGGCGCAAAATAACATTCCTCTACTCTGTCATAATACAAAGAATGGAGGACACACTTCACCGGAAACAGCACTGACGGCGCAAAATAACATTCCTCTACTCTGTCATAATACAAAGAATGGAGGACACACTTCACCGGAAACAGCACTGACGGCGCAAAATAACATTCCTCTACTCTGTCATAATACAAAGAATGGAGGACACACTTCACCGGAAAGAGCACTGACGGCGCAAAATAACATTCCTCTACTCTGTCATAATACAAAGAATGGAGAACACTTCACCGGAAAGAGCACTGACGGCGCAAAATAACATTCCTCCACTCAGTCATAATACAAAGAATGGAGGACACACTTCACCGGGAAGAGCACTGACGGCGCAAAATAACATTCCTCCACTCAGTCATAATACAAAGAATGGAGGACACACTTCACCGGAAAGAGCACTGACGGCGCAAAATAACATTCCTCCACTCAGTCATAATACAAAGAATGGAGGACACTTCACCGGAAAGAGCACTGACGGCGCAAAATAACGTTCATCTACTCAGTCATAATACAAAGAATGGAGGACACACTTCACCGGAAAGAGCACTGACGGCGCAAAATAACGTTCATCTACTCAGGCATAATACAAAGAATGGAGGACACACTTCACCGGAAAGAGCACTGACGGCGCAAAATAACATTCCTCCACTCAGTCATAATACAAAGAATGGAGGACACACTTCACCGGGGAGAGCACTGACGGCGCAAAATAACATTCCTCCACTCAGTCATAATACAAAGAATGGAGGACACTTCACCGGAAAGAGCACTGACGGCGCAAAATAACATTCCTCTACTCAGTCATAGTACAAAGAATGGAGGACACTTCACCGGAAAGAGCACTGACGGCGCAAAATAACATTCCTCCACTCAGTCATAATACAAAGAATGGAGGACACACTTCACCGGAAAGAGCACTGACGGCGCAAAATAACATTCCTCCACTCAGTCATAGTACAAAGAATGGATGACACACTTCACCGGAAAGAGCACTGACGGCGCAAAATAACATTCCTCCACTCAGTCATAATACAAAGAATGGATGACACACTTCACCGGAAAGAGCACTGACGGCGCAAAATAACGTTCATCTACTCAGTCATAATACAAAGAATGGAGGACACACTTCACCGGAAAGAGCACTGACGGCGCAAAATAACATTCCTCCACTCAGTCATAATACAAAGAATGGATGACACACTTCACCGGAAAGAGCACTGACGGCGCAAAATAACGTTCATCTACTCAGGCATAATACAAAGAATGGAGGATACACTTCACCGGAAACAGCACTGACGGCGCAAAATAACATTCCTCCACTCAGTCATAATACAAAGAATGGAGGACACACTTCACCGGGGAGAGCACTGACGGCGCAAAATAACATTCCTCCACTCAGTCATAATACAAAGAATGGAGGACACTTCACCGGAAAGAGCACTGACGGCGCAAAATAACATTCCTCTACTCAGTCATAGTACAAAGAATGGAGGACACTTCACCGGAAAGAGCACTGACGGCGCAAAATAACATTCCTCCACTCAGTCATAATACAAAGAATGGAGGACACACTTCACCGGAAAGAGCACTGACGGCGCAAAATAACATTCCTCCACTCAGTCATAGTACAAAGAATGGATGACACACTTCACCGGAAAGAGCACTGACGGCGCAAAATAACATTCCTCCACTCAGTCATAATACAAAGAATGGATGACACACTTCACCGGAAAGAGCACTGACGGCGCAAAATAACGTTCATCTACTCAGTCATAATACAAAGAATGGAGGACACACTTCACCGGAAAGAGCACTGACGGCGCAAAATAACATTCCTCCACTCAGTCATAATACAAAGAATGGATGACATACTTCACCGGAAAGAGCACTGACGGCGCAAAATAACGTTCATCTACTCAGGCATAATACAAAGCATGGAGGACACACTTCACCGGAAACAGCACTGACGGCGCAAAATAACATTCCTCCACTCAGTCATAATACAAAGAATGGAGGACACTTCACCGGAAAGAGCACTGACGGCGCAAAATAACATTCCTCCACTCAGTCATAATACAAAGAATGGAGGACACACTTCACGGGAAAGAGCACTGACGGCGCAAAATAACATTCATCTACTCAGTCATAATACAAAGAATGGAGGACACACTTCACGGGAAAGAGCACTGACGGCGTTAAATAACATTCATCTACTCAGTCATAATACAAAGAATGGAGGACAGACATCACAGGAAAGAGCACTAACGGCGCAAACTAACATTCCTCCACTCAGTCATAATACAAAGAATGGAGGACACACTTCACGGGAAACAGCACTGACGGCGCAAAATAACATTCATCTACTCAGTCATAATACAAAGAATGGAGGACACACTTCACGGGAAAGAGCACTGACGGCGCAAAATAACATTCATCTACTCAGTCATAATACAAAGAATGGAGGACAGACATCACAGGAAAGAGCACTGACGACGCAAAATAACGTTCATCTACTCAGTCAAAATACAAAGAATGGAGGACACACTTCACCGGAAAGAGCACTGACGGCGCAAAATAACATTCATCTACTCAGTCATAATACAACAAATGGAGGACACACTTCACGGGAAAGAGCACTGACGGCGCAAAATAACATTCCTCCACTCAGTCATAATACAAAGAATGGAGGACACACTTCACGGGAAAGAGCACTGACGGCGCAAAATAACATTCCTCCACTCAGTCATAATACAAACACCTCACCGGAAACAGCACTGACGACGCAAAATAACATGCATCTACTCAGTCATAAAACAACGAATGGAGGACACACTTCACGGGAAAGAGCACTGACGGCGCAAAATAACATTCCTCCACTCAGTCATAATACAAAGAATGGAGGACACACTTCACCGGAAAGAGCACTGACGGCGCAAAATAACATTCCTCCACTCAGTCATAATACAAAGAATGGAGGACACACTTCACGGGAAAGAGCACTGACGGCGCAAAATAACATTCATCCACTCAGTCATAATACAACGAATGGAGGACACACTTCACGGGAAAGAGCACTGACGGCGCAAAATAACATTCCTCCACTCAGTCATAATACAAAGAATGGAGGACACACTTCACGGGAAAGAGCACTGACGGCGCAAAATAACATTCCTCCACTCAGTCATAATACAAACACCTCACCGGAAACAGCACTGACGGCGCAAAATAACATTCATCTACTCAGTCATAAAACAACGAATGGAGGACACACTTCACGGGAAAGAGCACTGACGGCGCAAAATAACATTCCTCCACTCAGTCATAATACAAACACCTCACCGGAAACAGCACTGACGGCGCAAAATAACATTCCTTCACTCAGTCATAATACAAAGAATGGAGGACACACTTCACGGGAAACAGCACTGACGGCGCAAAATAACATTCCTTCACTCAGTCATAATACAAAGAATGGAGGACACACTTCACGGGAAACAGCACTGACGGCGCAAAATAACATTCCTCCACTCAGTCATAATACAAAGAATGGAGGACACACTTCACCGGGGAGAGCACTGGCGGCGCAAAATAACATTCCTCCACTCAGTCATAATACAAAGAATGGAGGACACACTTCACCGGGAAGAGCACTGACGGCGCAAAATAACATTCCTCCACTCAGTCATAATACAAAGAATGGAGGACACACTTCACGGGAAACAGCACTGGCGGCGCAAAATAACATTCCTCCACTCAGTCATAATACAAAGAATGGAGGACACACTTCACCGGAAAGAGCACTGACGGCGCAAAATAACATTCCTCCACTCAGTCATAATACAAAGAATGGAGGACACACTTCACCGGGGAGAGCACTGGCGGCGCAAAATAACATTCCTCCACTCAGTCATAATACAAAGAATGGAGGACACTTCACCGGAAAGAGCACTGACGGCGCAAAATAACGTTCCTCCACTCAGTCATAATACAAAGAATGGAGGACACACTTCACCGGAAAGAGCACTGACGGCGCAAAATAACATTCCTCCACTCAGTCATAATACAAAGAATGGAGGACACACTTCACGGGAAACAGCACTGACGGCGCAAAATAACATTCCTTCACTCAGTCATAATACAAAGAATGGAGGACACACTTCACGGGAAACAGCACTGACGGCGGAAAAGAAACAAAACGCATGGACAACATTTTTCATTTTCACAATATTTATTCTGAGAGGAATTGATCAAAAACGACAAATAACAGTAATTCAAGCAACTTAGAAAGTTTCAGTAGTTTTATATGATGATATACACAGGACTGAATAACAATAAAGATTTAAGCTAAATTAATACAATTGTCAAGTAGTGAGTGAGTGAGTTGGGATTAACGCTGCTTTTAACAATATTTCAGCGATATCACAGTGGGGGACAAATATGGTCTTCACACATTGTACCCCATATGGGGGGATCGAACCCAGTTAATCCGAGAGAGAGCTTTACCCATAGCGGCCACTAGTGTATCCCTGTGAAGTAACGGAAAAGCAAAAAAAGCGTGTTTTACAGTAGATCTGATGCTATACATATCCTTTAAAATGCTACAGAAGACAAATAAAATAATTGCTCAAAAGCTAAAAAATCGTATATTTAATCAAATAACACCAATGAGACTGGGGTATCGGTGTTTAGTCCCCATGGCGTTGTCGCAGCGCATGTTCCACGTCTCTCCGTCGTCGAGGCTGCATCCACACATCCCACCACCACGACTTGCTGATCTCTGAAAAATAGGAAAATATAACGAAATATACGCTTTTTCAATTTGGGATCACGTCGAGAAGAAATACTGTAGAGCGTACAAAGTTTAGTCTCCTAATGGGAATGGTCAATCAAAATCACCTATAATTTTTAATGTGCTGAAGAGCAATGACGTATATTCAATCAACATTTTTCTTATTATTATACACAGATTAAAATTTCAAAAACGCAGCAAAGAGTGTTTGGGTGATCCTGGCACAGTCAGGCTGGTTAGGCTCTTCATCAGCTCAGGGCCCTTGCCCCCTCTACACGCAGCCCAGACAGCGAATGGGACTTCTCCCAGGAAGCGCTGCCAAGTCAAACCCACCCAGAACTTTTCGGAGAATGTGATGACTCCCCAACACTGCAGCCTTCTGCATTACCCAGATTGTCAGATGGACTGGTAGTACGCTCCCAATGTCAGTCAACAGATTGGGAGGTACCAAACCTAAGGCACCGGGAACAATGGGGAGTCGGACAACTTGGTACTTGGAATGCAAGCGTGACATTTCGAAAGCGAGGTCTGCATATTTGCCATGTTTTTCCTAAATCTTGTCAATCAAATTAGTGTCAAAAGACAATTTCACTGGATTTATCAGGTGAGGTGAAATGGGGTTTAACGTCGCGTCCAAGATTATTGCACTTATATAGCGACGTGCATGCACGTGTATGTGTGTATGTGGCTGTTTGTACTAGTCCGGACTGATGCCGATTTATAGTGCTAAAGGAGATACCATGCCGCAGTTTAACATGAATACCCCACTCAGACACAGTATACTGACTCCGAGCCGACCAGTCCTTGTTTTAGCCCCTTAATGCCGAACGCCAGACAGGGTAACAACAAGTACAATCTTTTAACGTCTTTTTGTATGATGCGGCCGGGATCGAACCCTGGACCTTCCGCTCTCCGGGCGGACGCTCTACCACAAGACCACGGAGTCGGTGTCTGGATTTATCAAAAAGGACAAGATCAGGTTTGTTGGCCTGGATATGTCTGAGGCTGAAAAGGGGCCTATTCCAAAGGATTTTGTGTTAATCATTTTCCATGACGCCCTCCATTCAGGGTCGTACCATGGATTGACCTTAGTGTCCAAACCATTATAATTATTATTAATTTTTTTTATTTATTTATATATTTTTTTTTTTTTATTTTTTTTTTTCAGGGTCGTACCATGGATTGACCTTAGTGTCCAAACCATTATAATTATTATTAATTTTTTTTATTTATTTATATATTTTTTTTTTTTTTTTTTTTTTTTTTAAATCTAAAAGTACTCTATATCACTCTGACACTTACTTTTGGTGCAGTCAACCTCATTTTCATCCATAGTGTAGCCATCGGGACATGCGCAGACGTTAGTTCCATTTGTGCGAGGGAAGCACAAATACGAACACCCGCCATTGTTGTCAGTACATCCATTTGTTACTATAAACATATATAATAAACCGCTATATACTGTAAAACAAGTTTGTAACAGTAAAGCAACATATCAAAAAAAAATATGACGAATCTATTTACAATTTATAATGAGATAAAACATGATATCAAGGAAACAGCGAATGTAAATGTCTCTTCGAACTGAAATAATTGAGGGTTGCAACAAAGATGTCTTGGGTTTTTTGTATTTTTTGTAGAAAGACTGATTACTCCACTCACGCTCATGACGTAACATCTCAGGTTATTGCGGATACGTGCCAGAACAATATATACAATGCTTTTAGTTAGAGCAGAACGCGTTACCCAAGTACCTGTTTCGTAATCACTCTGTTGGTAGGCGTGGATGTCTGACAGGTAGCGGAAGGAAGGTAACGTTGTCTCGGCGAATCCCGTACCATCCACGTTTACCCTTCTCACAACGCTGCTTAAAAAGACAAATTGACATGATTCGTTTTGAAAATGTCATTGTTCTGGACTGAAGAAGTTGTAAATTATAGATATCTTCCTGATGTTGTAGGCGATGGCAGATTTGGAGAGTGATCTTTGCGTCGTATTTTAAAGGGTAACAATCATTTTATAGATATCTACGAGGGTGTGAGTGAGTGATGTCGGGGTAGAAGAGATAGACTTTGATACTGGAAGTCTAATGTTTTGAGATATATCGAGTAGAGGATCCGGAGTTTGTCGTGGATGCCAGAAAGGTAACAGTTTGAGATATATAGAGTAGAGGGGCTTTCAATGATGCCAGCTAGGAAGGTAACATTTTGAGATATATCGAGTAGAGGAGCTTTCAAGGATGCCAGGAAGGTAACATTTTGAGATATGGGAGCTAGTCGAGGATGTTAGAAAGGTAATATTTTGAGATATAGGAGCTAGTGGAGGATGTCAGATAGGTGACATTGTGAGATATATAGAGTAGAGGAGCTATTCGAGGACGTCAGAAAGGTAATAATTTGAGATATAGGAGCTAGTCGAGGATGTTAGAAAGGTGACATTGTGAGATATAGGAGCTTGTGGAGGATGTCAGAAAGGTGACATTGTGAGATATATAGAGTAGAGGAGCTATTCGAGGACGCCAGAAAGGTAACATTTTGAGATATATGAGCTAGTCGAGGATGTCAGATAGTTGACATTGTGAGATATAGATAGTCATTGAAGATGGTGTAAAGGAGGGGTACCATTATAGGTATCAAGCTGTCATTATGGGCGGTGCTGGGAGGGTACAGTTACAGATATTTACCTGGAATTAGGTAAGATTGCGGAGTAGAAGAGGAAGTCGTTAAAGACAGCGATGGTGGAGGGGTAGTTGTCTGTCGTCAGGAGGGTAGTTCTGTTTCCTTCTTCAAGGTCCATCATCTCCAAGGTCTTGGACCCGGCGTCGCTCCAGTACAGCTTCTGGGCTGAAGATTAAACGTGAATGTAAGAATGATTAGATAATGAAGTCTGATGAGAATAAATGTTGGCCTATGTCGTGATCAAAACATTCAGCCGTTCACAATTACCAACAGTGACACACACCTAGAGACAATACAAAATATAAAGAATATATAGCTTATGTAGAATGCTGAAGTTGAACAAAGCGAATCGCTGTTTCTCTTAGTCAAATTCCATGAGTTGTACACACGTATCTTGTGGTAGGCGTTAATCCGAGAAAATTGCATGAGTGAAGACAAATTAAATGTAGCATCGGCAGTATATCAGCCATAAGTATGGAGTCACTCAGTTTACATCCTCACCATCCCTGTCCAGTGTTAGTCCCTCCGGCCATATGGAACTGACCAGCACCTGTCGGGCAGTCCCATCGTAGTTGGCCCGCTCTATCCTGTTGTCCTCGCCCCAATCTGTCCAGTACATTACACTGTTGAAGGAAAAGAAGCGTGAGATGTTGTATCAGCAGAATAGGCAGCAATCAATTAGAAATACAGTAAACTACGTTTATAACGAACTCAAAGGGACTACTTATGTTAGTTCGTTATAACCGTAGTTCGTTATATAAATATATTCAGCATAACTACAGTAAATAGTCGGGACCAAAAAGTAAGTTCGTTATATCCGTCAGTTCGTTATAAGCGTGTTCGTTATAACCGTAGTTTACTGTACGCAATATTTTTTAAATATTGATGATTTACACAATATTTCCATCTAGTGTCACAAAATAATGTCGGGATGCTATCTTTTGAAAAAATATTCTTACGTTGACTTACAGATAAAACAGGACGTAGATGAATCCTATAGCACACGATACTAATGTTAGCATTCAAGACAACACCTGATTCTCTGGACAACCATGGCCTTGTGAATCACATATGACCTTTTAAGAGCAGACAAAGCTTCACGAAGTCCCCAAAATCAAACCTACCCGTGTAAAGGATCCACTTCGATATGTCTTGGCATGTAGGTAGCAGCTCTGATCACAATCTTGTGATATTTTGTAACCATTGTTACCACGCCAATGACGTCATTGCCTTTGTCGGTGTAGAATATGAGTCTTGATACAGGATCTATTGTTATACCATCCACAGCAGCAGCTGCAAAGGGGTTACACTACATCAAACGGATGGCAAAAGTGTGCCTACAGCACTATATTACCTCAAATTTGTTCTACAGAGTTGTCAGGACCAGCTAAGCGTGGGTGAAAATGCCAGGCTTTACCTGACTATGATCCTTGGACGGTCAGCACTAACTATTTGAGGTTTTGCTTCCACGTTAAGCAGAAATGCCACAATAAAACTGAAGTACTGTTCAAAGAGGCGTTAATACACTCACTCACTCACTTATATTGACACAAGAATATTGCAACATCCATTTACCCCAGTTGAGCAATATGTACGTCTTGCTCTTCTTGGGCCCAACACTGTGTATGGCAGGTCTGTATTTGTCAGCATAGAAGATGTGGTTCGTGACCGGGTCGTATGCAGATGACCCTAGTCTCACGTTGTCCGGCAGAGCCACAGCCTTGTGTGTGAAGTCGGACATGTTGACAGACCAGATGTGTCCAGTGATGGGGTCAGTGAGAAGCATGAAGGCATCAGCAGGGGGAGCTGCAAATGTAAGATGTGATATGATGTGACCAGTGATGGGGTCAGTGAAGTCACCAGTGATGAGGTCAGTGATGTGACCAGTGATAGGGGTCAGTGATGCGACCAGTGATGGGGTCAGTGGTGTGACCAGTGATGGGGTCAGTGAAGTCACCAGTGATGAGGTCAGTGATGTGACCAGTGATGGGGTCAGTGAAGTCACCAGTGATGAGGTCAGTGATGTGACCAGTGATAGGGGTCAGTGATGCGACCAGTGATGGGGTCAGTGATGTGACCAGGGATGTAACCAGTGATGGGGTCAGTGCTATAGCAAGTGATGGGGTCAGTGATGAGGTCAGTGATGGGGTCAGTGAAATGACCCGTGATGAGGTCAGTGATGTGACCAGTGATGAGGTCAGTGATGTGCCCAATCATGGGGTCAGTGATGTGACCAGTGATGGGGTCAGTGAAATGACCCGTGATGGGGTCAATGGTGTGACCAGTGATGTGACCAGTGATGGGGTCAGTGATGTGACCAGTGATGGGGTCAGTGATGTGTTCAGTGATGGGGTCAGTGATGTGACCAGTGATGTGACCAGTGATGGGGACAGTGGTGGGGTTCAATGATGGGTGGTTCAGTGAGAGGCATTAAGACATCCGATGGTGGGGGTGGTGGTGGGGGTGGGGGGGTGGTATATGCTACAAATGTGTATTGTTTGGGTGTTTGTTGTTTAACGCTACACTCAACACTATTCCACATATAGTGATAGGGATCAGTGATGGTATAAGTGACAGGCATGGAATGAGAAGTCAAGCAGTACAAGACAGTGATCTCCCTTCAAAAATATTGTTAATCATTTAATCCTCATACCTATACATTCGGATTCCACGCTTGACCCCATGTATTCAGTGTTAAAGGCAGCTGGACATAGGTCACACTGTAACTTCCCTGATTCCTCCTGGTACCAACCGCGCTCGCACGCAACACACGTGTCATTGTCGGACACCGTCCCGGGGGCACATGAAGCTGTAACACACAGTAGTAATGATAGTTATACATGTGTACCCTGGAAATGAGAGATTATATTACAACATCAATATTATATAACTGGCTAAATTGTGATACCATTTGTTTTGGATGGCACGCGTCCTAAAGAAGTTTAAGTAAACTTGGCTTTAAATATATTTCATTATGTACATAGTTGAGAAACGTATCCTTAATTTATCATTTTAATGGCCAGGAAAACAATTACCAAACAAGCCACCCTTCTATTACATAGTTATTTGTCAATATAGTCATACTATCGGTCATTTATATTTTCAATATGGCCAAGGGCGGTGGGGTAGCCTAGTGGTTAAAGCATTCGCACGTCACGCCAAGACCTGGGTTCGATTCCCTACATGGGTAAAATGTATGAAGCCCATTACCGATGTTCCCCCGCAGGAATATTGCTGCAATATTGCTAAAAGCGACGTAAAATTCAAGTCACTCACTCCAATATGTCCACAAAACCTACTAACGGTTCATGGTACAAATGGATTTATTTTCACTCACCAAACTTTGGGTAACTTGTGGAATCAATGTTTCCTCTGGAACTTTGAAATATGTTATCATAATATATTTAACCAACCATAAAAGACATCAATCGAGACGCCGAAAAGCTTATGCACTTTACTAAGATAACTCACTACAGTAGCCCATGTCTGGGACTGACCCTACTGGACATGAGAGGTCACTGTCCGCAATGGACGTTCCTGGCTTGACTGGACCATCTGTCAGTGTCACCAGGAAGCACTCCTCGTACATCTCCTCAAGGTCATTGTAGCTGTTGTTCAAGGACGAGTAGGCCTCTGCCAGATTCTGCCTTGTTTCGACGGCTGAAAATAACATGCACTTGTATTGTGGCTATGAATTCTGAATTTGTTTTGTTTTTTTGTGACCCACTGTCCTCAGTTACAACTGCGATATGATAATAAAGAAGGTAATACCTTGACATAATAATAAATGACATTAGGATATTTTGCATTCACATAACCATTTATGCATACCAGATAGACATTTGCTTCTTGGTTGACAAATTTCGAATTATCCAGTTTGGATACCCGCATGTGTGAAATTAAAAAAATCTGAATCATCTGTACTGATCTATTTTATTTCCAGTAACCACTGTGTCATCAACTGATAAATCTTATGCCCCCCCCCCCCACCCCCCACCCCCCTCCCCACCCAAACCCCAACAACCCCCAACCCCTACCCCTTAATGTACATATGTATGAATGCTTACCACTCCAGTTACTGACAACAAAATTAGCCTCAAACTTCATTTTCGCCTTGTATCCTTCTGGAAACTGAGCGCACCCTCCAGCCTCCCGTTGACACGTTTCCACGACAACTGCGACTGTACAAGTCTCGTCCCGAACACAGGAAGTATTAGACGCGCAGACAGACGCCGTGTTTTGGATAATGGCGAGATCGGCAGCCATGTTGATTCCGACCCGTGTCTTGTAGGGGACGGTGTAGCTGAACGACACGTTGTTTGGGATCTGGAAGTCTGAAAGGTCATTTATGAGATCGTCAGCCGGATTTTACGCCACGGTAAACAATAGTCCATCAATGACCGAGACTGGATGAAGCAAGCCCAGATGCCATGAACAACGGTCCACGCCGTAAAAAAAATAGATTGCAGGGCAAAAGAAAGTATCCATTTGAAAATTGGATTCAAACATAAAAATCCAAATGATATCAAAACGTAACGTTACACAGCAAATTGAAGGTCCAAAACATACCAATGATACCCGTTTCAATTACACCACCATCGAATAAAATTTCTGGATTGTTTCATTTTCATTTTCATTTAGCCACCATCAAACAGGGGTGTATACTTTCCTTTTACCGGCAGTTTAGAAGCAATGGCGAAGAGTCAGGGAGCAAACAAGCAACACGTCACACCAATACGACATTGTGACCACCCGGTCTCCTTATAGTTGGATGATCCATCATGTCCCTCGTAATACAGACAATGTTGCAACCATGACATATGTTTGGGGTCAATCAAAACTCAAATGTTAATTGATTTTTAAAGTGCACTGAACGTTATCGTGGCATTCCTTTATTGATATTAGTGTACACATTGGGGCTGTACTTACTGACGCAAGATATAGTCTTTGCTTTAGGGGTCCACAGTTCTTCATAACATTCATACAATGGAGGATCCTCCTGGAACACCAAACCTTCGTCACATGACACGGAACAGTTCATGGCCGCTTTCGACAAGTTGGTGCAGCTAACACTGACGCCCTGGCTCAGTGTCAACTGGGACGCCTTGCATTCTGAAAGTAAGAGATGACATTTACACTGTGATATTAATATAATTATTATTTACAGATTAAAGTAAAAATGCAGAAAAAAGGGGTTTGGATGATCCTGGCACAGTCAGGCTGGTAAGGCTCATCATCAGCTCAGGGCCCTTGCCCACTCCACACGCAACCCAGGAAGCACTGCCTTGTCGAACCCACCGAGAACATTTCGAAAAGTGTGAAGTCTAAAAAAAACACCTGCGGCCTTCTACTCTACCCAGATTGACAGATGGGCGGTATTCCTGGCAACAAACCCATTCATACTCTTAGTATCATTTTCCACGACGCCCTCAACATATTCTGGGTCGTACCACGGATGGACCTCTGTGTCAAAACCACAAATATGGCGAAGACGACAATAAAACGATCGAGCTACACCATCATCTCGCTTAAGCTGGACATCCACTGACAATGTGTTGGGCTGTCTCATGTAAATCATCATCAATCATCATCATCATTCATCATCATCCATCCATCATCATCATCCATCCATCATCCATCCATCCATCCATCCATCATCATTATTATAATCATCAATCCATCCATCATCATCCATCGTCAATCATCATAATCCAACAATCATCATCCATCTTCATCCATCATCATCACATCATTCATCATCATCCATCCATCATCCATCATCATCCGTCCGTCATCGATCAATCATCATCATCATCATCATCATCATCATCAATCACCATCTATCATTATAATCATCATCATCGTCCATCCATCCATCATCATCATCAACACCATCCATCATCCATCCATCCATCATCAAACATCATCAATCATATCATCAATCCATCCATCATCATCATTATCCATCCATCCATCAATCATCAACAATCCATCATCAATCATATCATCCATCATCATCCATCCATTCGTCATCATCCATTCATCAATCCATCCATCATTATCATCATCCATCATCATCCATCCATCCATCATCATCCATCATCCATCATCATTCATCATAATCATCATCCATCATCATCATCGATCCATCCATCATCATCAATCACCATCTATCATTATAATCATCATCATTATCATCGTCGTCCATCCATCCATCCATCATCATCATCACCACCATCCATCATCCATCCATCCATCCATCCATCATCATCATTATCCATCATCATCCATCCATCCATCAATCATCAACCATCCATCATCAATCATATCATCCATCCATCCATCATCATCCATTCATCATCAATCCATCCATCATTATCATCATCCATCATCATCATCCATCCATCCATCATCATTCATCATCATCATCATCCATCATCATCATCATCATCATCCATCATCATCATCCATCCATGATCCATCATCATCCATCCATCATCATCCATCCATGATCCATCATCATCCATCCATCATCATCATCATCCATCCATCATCATCCATCCATGATCCATCATCATCCATGCATCATCATCCATCATCATCATCATCATCATCCATCCATCATCATCCATCATCATCATCCATCCATCATCATCCATCCATCATCCATCATCATCATCATCATCCATCCATCATCATCCATCCGTCATCCATCATCATCAATCATTATCCATCATCATCCATCCATCACCCATCATCATCCATCATCATAATCATCATCATCCATCATCATCATCCATCATCATCCATCAATCATCATCCATCCATCCATCATCATCATCATCCATCAATCATCTTCCATCATCATCATCATATCATCATCCATCATCATCATATCATCAATCATCATCCATCAGCATCAGCATCAATCAGCATCAGCATCATCATCCATGAGCATGCATCATCCATCCATCATCATCCATCCATGATCCATCATCATCCATCCATCATCATCATCATCATCATCCATCATCATCCATCATCATCCATCCATCATCATCCATCCATCCATCATCATCCATCCATCATCCATCCATCATCATCCATCCGTCATCCATCATCCATCATCATCCATCCATCATCATCCATCCATCATCATCCATCCATCACCCATCATCATCCATCATCACAATCATCATCATCCATCATCATCATCCATCCATCCATCATCATCATACATCATCATCCATCAATCATCATCCATCCATCCATCCATCATCATCATCCATCAATCATCATCCATCCGTCATCCAACATCCATCCATCATCATCAATCATCCATCCATCATCATCCATCCATGATCCATTATCATCATCATCCATCATCATCATCCATCCATCCATCATCATCATCATCCATCCATCATCATCATCATCCATCAATCATCATCCATCCGTCATCCAACATCATCAATCATCCATCATCATCCATCCATGATCATCATCCATCCATCATCATCCATCCATTATCCATCCATCATCATCCATCCATCCATCATCATCATACATCATCATCCATCCATCATCATCCATCCATCCATCATCATCATCATCCATCAATCATCATCCATCCGTCATCCAACATCATCAATCATCCATCATCATCCATCCATGATCATCATCCATCCATCATCATCCATCCATTATCCATCCATCATCATCCATCCATCATCATCCATCATCATCCATCATCATCATCATATCATCTATCATCATCCATCATCATCATTATATCATCAATCATCATCCATCAGCATCAGCATCCATCAGCATCAGCATCCATCCAGCATCATCCATTATCATCCATCATCATCCATTATCATCCATCACCATCCGTAATCATCATCATCATATCATCCATCATCATCCATCCATTATCCATCCATCATCATCATCCATCCATCCTTAATCATCATCATCCATCATCATCATCATCCATCTATCCATCCATCCATCATCATCATCACTATCATCATCCAACATCATCCATCCATCATCCAGCGTAAAACCATACTCACTCACTGACTTCACCATGTAAGTCGATCTCATTGTAGTACAACACAGCAATAAACGCTATCGATCATTACCTGGGCATTTGTTCTCATTACAAACATATGTTTCTTCAGCAGATCCTTCACATGGTTTTCCGAGCTCAGGCTCAGGAGAAGGATTGTCACAAGCCCTTGACCTTGACCTTACACCCCCGCCACAGGTCACAGAACACGAGGACCATGGAGTCCAAACATTCCACTTGCCATGAACTGAAAGAGTCGCAATACATCAACATTGTGTCCAAAAGTGTTCTCGTTTTGCGTTATTAATTTTTTTAAGACATTATCGCAAGGTTTATTTTGAAGAAAGAAAACACAGTTAAGCTCATGATTTTGAGTTGTAGCTGAGAAGAATATCTACCTAGACAGCCCCGACCACATGATTGCCTATTGGCATCAGACAGTACTACCAATCGTAGTCTTATGTTCTGGTGTTTCACAGAACCTCTCCTTGTAGACTTGCCTATTGGTGTCTCACAGCAACACCTTTTGTAGTCTTGCCATATTGGTGTCTCATCTCCTAGTTATGTCTCACAGTACCGTAGTCTCACCTATTGGTATTTCGCAGTATCGCCCCTTGTAGTCGTCAGTGCAGGTACAGTTTACCCCTCCCTTGATATTCTCACACATAGCGCCATGTTCACACTTGTTGTCCACGACACAGTAGTCCGGTGGTATCTCGCACGTCAGGCCAGAGAAGCCTCCTTTACACGTGCACTTGAAGCCATACTTGAATGATCGACAGTAGTGCTCGGGACAGGGGCTAGGAGAACATCGGTCGATCTCTGTGGGGAAAGAATACAGTCCTAATCCTACAACACATCTGCACTGAATTGTTGAAATTACTCAGCTCCAATTAGTCAATCAGCGGTTTCAAATTACAATAACCGTCCCCGATTGAAACAGCTGACTTGACGTACGGACACATCGCTAATATTTACACAAAAGTAATTCTATATTTGGGAATAATATGTACAAATGTAAAGTTGTGGTAAGTACAATACTCAAAGTAGGCATTGGAAGACAGTTTGGGTTGAAAAACACAACAGAAAACAATTAAGTGATAGTATTTCAAGAGAGGTTCCCACGTGTTTTCTTTAACAGTGACCTTGAACCTGTCATATATGCGAGTCATGTTTGTAAAAAAACCAATAAACATTTACACCGCCATGCTTTTGTTTTAGGATATTATCGGTATTCTCTTAATTCAGATCGATAACCCACTTAAATCCTCTGACTGAACCCATGCCGCTTCGCTAATATCAAACAGTTCCTGTTTAATTTTTTCATGGTAGAATGGAGATAGACTTGATGTGTTTGCAATGTAAAGCCAGCTAGTTTACCCGTTATCTTAACTGCGCACGATTTAACATTTGAAACCTCATGGTGCAAGTTCGGTTCAAAAAGTAATCAGGAACGGTAAAATCTAAGGAACAGCTAACTTAGCCCACATTGTGATTTTGACACGATTTCGTTTGTAAAATCTCAACTTCTGTATTCTTTCACAAGATTATCAGGTTAATATATACTAGTCAAGAGAAGTTAAAGAACACCCGATTGACTTTAGTTAATCTGTCGTGGCTGGTGGGTATTTCAACACACAGCCTTCTGGTTGTGGGTGTTCTTTAACTTATTTTGAGCAGTATATATACACTGAATCCTTTTACTTCTGAATCTAGTCACATGAACATGTCATAGCTCACCTAAATATGTCATAGCTTACCTGAACAGACACTGGGTACCACCATGCTGATCTTCGATGGATCCGAGGCCTTGATTTTGTTGATGAGAGAATCGAACCCAACATCTCCAGGTGAGCAGGACCTGGCCATGTGAGCTATAGTCCTCGAGACATTGCTTAGTGGCATCACGTAGATCTCCCTCAAACTCAATTCTGAAAACAAATCATCAATATATAATGCAGTATTGCCCTGCTGCTGTTTACATCATCATCGATTTATTTACATGTTGTGATCATGGTCCAACAAGATAAATACATTTTGACATCTATGCTGGTCGTAAGAGGCGACTTATGGATCGGACGGTCAGGCTAGGTGAGTGAGTGAGTTGGGTTTAACACCGCTTTTTACAGTATTCCAGCTTAATGTGGGAGGAAAGCCCCAAGTGATGCAGGTCTCAGACGTTTACCCCTTCGGTTAAACCCACGGGCAGGGTATGGTGCTGAACCGGGATTCGAACTCACAATCATAGGTTTCTGGCGTGCCCAAGGGACAGCGAATCGTGGGGCCTTAGACGACTGGGCCACCCGTGCCCCCCTCAGGCTAGGTGACTATCGACAGTCATCGTACACTGATGGCGTGGATCGTTGCTCATAATATCGAGACCCTTGAAGATCAGGGTTAGAATTATAGGTCTGTCAACCCCATGCTTGCCGTAAAAGGCGACTATGCTTGTCGTCAGAGGCGACTAACGGGATCGGGTGGTCAGGCTTGCTGACTTGCTGGTTAATGCATGTCATCGTATCCCAATTGCGTGGATCGATGCTCATGATGTCAATCAATGGATTGTCTGGTGCAGACTCGATTACTTACAGACCGCCGTTATATAGCTGGAATATTGCTGAGTGCAGCGTTAAACAACAAAGAAACAAAAAAATCATAATATCGATCACTGGATTGTATGGTCCAGACCCGTTTATTTACAGAGCGCAGTCATATAGCCGGGATACTGCTGCGTGTGGCGTTAAATAATTAGCAAACAGTGTAATATAAGAATAAATATATATCTTCGTTCTATTGATTTCAATGAAATACTAGCTGCAGGTTTTCCTGTCAATCGGAGACCCCGGATGTTGCCGCAATCACACATATGGGTTAAAGGACTTAGTCTACACTACAAACCCAATTGAGGCTGTAGTGTTTTATGGGGTTAATCGGAAATAAATCAGAAAGGCTTACTCAATGTTTATTAATGCAACTACAGACGCATGCATATACATCTATGGTCTGTATATATAACATCGTTATGTACGAGGGGCGTTCAATAAGTTTTGCAACGTGGGCATTTGTGTTTACACAAACAATGTCAAATTGTGGCAGGTGTGACACTAGTCATAACACCAGGTTGACACGTGTCATAACCAGTTCCAGACACAACAATAAGTTAGATGTTATGGCTTCATTCATCCTAGGGTGGTCACAATCATGGATTTTCTCAAACATAAACAACGCGCTGGAGTAAGTTCCTTACCAAAGCTCCGGTTCACAAGTCGAGAATTGCACAGGCCGCCATATATGAATGTAGATCCGAACAGTTAAATCACCCCCCCCCCCCCCCCCCCCTACAGCCCAGACTTTGCTCCCAGTGACTATTTCCTGTTCCGGCAAATGAAATCTGCCCTACGTGGAAGACGCTTCCAGGATGACGAGGACATAAAGGCTGCCACAGAGGCGTGGTTAGAGGGCCAATCTGCGGGTTTCTTTTAAAGTGGTATTAAAAGCTTGAAGGACAAATGGAATAAGTGTATTGGGGTGAATGGAGATTATATTGAAAATTAAAGTGCAAAAGTTATTCTACGAATTGGTCTTATATTGAAGTTGCAAAATTTATTGAACGCCACTCGTATGTATTGAGAATGACTTGTCTTCCATTTCAAAAGTACATGCGTTAAAAGCTGCTAAGATCTGCTAAGATAAAATATTCAAAAGGATCCATGTAAAATCACCTGTCCCTTGTTCGATATGGATGGTAAGCTCTGTTCCCTCCGGCACGAAGCACAGAGGTACTTCGTTTCCATAACGTGCCACCCTGCTGCCAGCCCTGTAGATGTCCACGAAACTGGGATAGCCTTTCCACACTACCGCCATGTGTGTCCACAGGTCCTGGGGGACGTAGGTGTTCACTGGGACCTCCTGACTGATAACCCACCAATGAAAATCAGTGTGAGTTAGTGAGTATGGGTTTGTGTAAAAACACCAGCAGGTCTTGTCATGGGGAAGGGCACAATGCATTTCACATACTGCATCAAACGGGAAATCCAGGCCCAAACCCTGATTTAAAGATGACCTGCTGTATAGTTACAGCATTGTATAGACACCCTCCTGTGAATAGATACCCTCCTATGTAAATGCCCTGCTGTATAGATACAGCATTGTATAGACACCCTCCTGTATAGATACAGCATTGTATAGACACCCTCCTGTGAATAGATACCCTCCTGTGTAAATGCCCTGCTGTATAGATACAGCATTGTATAGACACCCTCCTGTATAGATACCCTCCTGTATAGATACACTCCTGTGTAAATGCCCTGCTGTATAGATACAGCATTGTATAGACACCCTCCTGTATAGATACCCTCCTGTATAGATTCCCTCCTGTGTAAATGCCCTGCTGTATAGATACAGCATTGTATAGACACCCTCCTGTATAGACACCCTCCTGTATAGATACCCTCCTGTGTAAATGCCCTGCTGTATGATACAGCATTGTATAGACACCCTCCTGTGAATAGATACCCTCCTGTGTAAGTGCCCTGCTGTATAGATACCCTCCTGTATAGACACCTCCTGTATAGATACCCTCCTGTGTAAATGCCCTGCTGTATAGATACCCTCCTGTTAGACACCCTGCTGTGTAGACACCCTCCTGTATATATATTCTCCTGTACAGATACCCTCCTGTACAGACACCCTCCTGTATATATATTCTCCTGTATAGATACCCTGCTGTATAGACACCCTCCTGCATAGATACCCTCCTGTATAGACACCCTGCTGTATAGACACCCTCCTGTATATATATTCTCCTGTATAGATACCCTGCTGTATAGACACCCTCCTGCATAGATACCCTCCTGTATAGACACCCTGCTGTATAGACACCCTCCTGTATATATATTCTCCTGTATAGACACCCTGCTGTATAGATACCCTCCTGTATAGACACCCTCATGTAAAGATACCCTCCTATATAGACACCCTGCTGTATAGATACCCTTCTGTATAGATACCCTGCTGTATAGACACCCTGCTGTATAGATACCCTCCTGTATAGATACCCTTCTGTATAGATACCCTCCTGTATAGACATCCTGCTGTATAGACACCCTCCTGCATAGATACCCTCCTGTATAGACACCCTCTTGTGTAGACACCCTGCTGTATAGACACCCTGCTGAATAGATACCCTGCTGTATAGATCCCCAGTCGTATAGATACCCTCCTGTATAGATTCCCCGTTGTATAGATCCCAAGTCGTATAGATACCCTCTTGTATGGATACCCTGCTGTATAGATACCCTCCTGTATAGATACATGTTCAGAAACCCGAGGCATAAATATAGTAATGTCTTAACACCCGATGGATTTATACCACAAAGTACAGATACCTAATGTACACACCCTCTCATCCTTATATTTGTCCGAGTGGTCAGTTCAAAGGTCATCTGATGCCCTCTGGTGGGATGACTGAGCACAAGTGAGATGTTTCTGCTACTTCTGCTTTGGGGCAGCGAGCGGTACCAGAAGGCGAGGGACAAATCCTCTACCCAGTCGTTCAGGACAGGGCCAAAATTCAACTGAACAGGACCTTTGACCAGTACATCGAATGCTTAAAAAAATGAACATGATAATTATGAAGATCCATACAGAATGCGACCATGACTTTGAATTGGTAATATCCATTATGCAAAGGTGAATCGAAGAAAGACTAGTCAACTTCACTGAATTATCGTTGATCAACGTTCTCTGAAACATTCGAAACTTCAGTTCAGTTTCTTTAGTTAAATAATTTTAAACCTCTTTGAAAAATATATCAGGTCAGTTTAATGTTTGAGGCAAATATTTGACAAATGATGATAATTTGAGCAAATCTGGGAATCGAACCCACTAAGGGATGCAACTACGCAGGGCCTTAAGCCATGTGTCCATCCATGCCAAACCTCCTGTATGACTGCGGCTCACAGCTGTACTCACGAACACATTGGCTCACGCTAGAACTCCCAATTCCAACAGTGGACGATTCCGAAGAGCATGGAATGCAACTTTTTCCAAACCGATTCGGCTGATATGCTCCAAAAGGACAAGGGTCGCAGGGTATCAGTCCAGTCACAGAAAAATTGCCAGGCTGGCACATCGCTGTTTCAGGAAAAAAAGTTTAAAAATTAAATAGTTCAGATCTATATTTGGCCATATGTATGTGTAACAACATGCAATAACGAAGATACGAAGTCCTCAGCATCGACAGAATATAGAAATAGCGAGTTCAACGTGGAGTGGAGTTCCGTTATTGGACCAAACTTGAAGTTCGAGTTAACAAGGTTGTTTTGTAGTTGATGAAGGATTGCGTACGTAGATACATTGACATACAAATAAATATATAATCTCACCCGAGTGTCTTTTGATATAAAATATATCTCCATCTACACGACTCGATACAAATTAAAACAGTTTTAAACTCTTTCCACGAGTATTGATGTATTAACATTTACCATGATTCAAATTCATTCTTCCAACATGTTTCGTCATAACCAGCTTCTTTGGTGTAAAAAGTAGACCTATTAACCAAGTTCAGCATCACTGAAAACTACACTTTGATACAGGCTCATGGACACTCTTGGCTCGGGAAGATAAGCTTTCACGGCAGAGAAGCAAGGGATGCTATTTGATTTGGACATCATGGTGACAGATGACGTCACAATGGGGATCCAATTCATTGTGGCTGATATTTCCTTGGAGATATACTTGATCTCACCCAAGCGATACCTCTTGTGGAAGCCAGTTTTGGATGGTAGACACATTTCAAGTGCTCCCTCAGAAAACAAAATATCAACTCAGGGGATGTAGAGTATATTGGTGAACTTACGCATTTAAAACAAGCAAAAATAACCAATTTGTATTAACCATAGCAGGCATTTCACACAGTAAGACCGCCACTCACCGATACAGTCCCGGTAAGTTTTACTTCCATTGTTCTTTGTACCGGTCATCTGACCACACGGAGTGCACTGTGTCTGACCACTGGTGTCGGAGTAGGTGTGGACCGGACACGCCTCACAGGTGTCCACTTCCTGGTTGTGGAACGTCCCACGTGGACAATGAACTGTAACAATATTGAACAGATGGCCATGATCAATATCTGATCGAGTAAAGCAAGTAGTGCATGCACATTATTCACAACCTTCCATGTCTGATAATTTAGTTTGGTATAGATGGAACACAGCAGAACTGTTGAAATTCAGTATCAGCCAAATCTCATTATGTTCGCATTACCAAGGATTACGAGAAATTGAGTAGTCGCCCAAGAAACGATTGAGACGAAAAAGGAGTTTCTGATGTTTTACAATCTTGGTGTTATGACATAATTAGATATGGTATAATTATATCATTTGTGCGTGGAATATATATCCGCTTAATGTTCCTACCACAGAGTAACCTTGACACGTTGGATATCACCTTCCCAGGCCCACACGTCACAGTCAGATTTCCAAGACTTCCAATTATGAAGTTTGCTGCTCTTGAGCCGTTGAGGGACCGACGGGTGGAGTTGAGGACGATACCGACGAAGTCTGTCACATTCTCGGTTGTCAAGGGACTAAGACATACAAAGGATGGACCTATTATCAGTGTGGAGTGAATTCAAATCGTTTTTCAGAAATTTCTGTCCTGCCACGTCATGCAGTTTTGAAGCTTATTTAATTTAATGAATCATGCAAGCATTTCCTGGTTGTGAAATCATTCGTCGTCTTGAGAGGAGTTTTTTGTCACTTAGAATCTTTATGCATAGATGTAAGTATGAAACAGGCGAAGCGTCTTCCTTGGTTTAATTTATTGAGCGATAGCAGATCATCGATTTATTTTAGGTTTAAACGTCTTAGCCAAATTCCCTTGTTTTGTTTGTAGGTTTTTTAACCAACCCGAGAAGAGATGCAAAATTGTTAATGCATAAAGATGCAGAAAGTAATAGGTCAGCAAGAAGGGGATCACAATCGGTGCCAATGAGGACGCGTACTTCTTGCCTTAAAGGCAACAATAGATATTATCAATGAGGAGGTCCAGCATATCACATATTGTCATCTTCCCCAGGCAAGGGCGTTAACTGACTATAAAAGTCCAGTTTCCACCCTTGCCGAACTAGGCCGGAATATCCATGCTTGATCGTAGCGCCATCAATGGCTAATACGAGCTATGTCCCTGCTATGTTCCTCCTATTGACCAATCAGATCCCTTGTCTCTTATGAATTGCATTTTCCTCAAACAAGACGGCGGCGCCCAGTCAAGACGGTCTGCTCAATAATCAACATTTATATTGTAATGAGACGGGTCTAGCCCCGTGAAGTGCATCAAATCACTTGAGCACCTGATTAAAATAATGAAAGAATTTGCAAAATATCTGAACACGCCTAGTCGTCAGTACACATGCTTTGCAAATCCTGCAGTCGACCGAAGTCCGCACGTTGAAATCCACGTTGTTTACGAACCGGATGTCAAGTTCGTTACGCGATTTTGTTTAGACTATGCATAGACTCGTCAGTCCAGCCAAAATCTAACTCCATAATTGTGGCCTTGTTAGGCAAGGGTGGAAACTGGACTTTTATAGTCAGTTAACTCCCTTTCCTCGGGAAGATGGGTGGTTGCGACCAACAGACGTAATCTTGTTGAAAGTGGGATTTGAACACAACCGGAGGATTGTGGTACTCAAACTCGGTCTGGTACCATAAGGCCATTGGGATTGAACGCATGAAAAAATAGTATTACGCTAATTTAACGGAAAGTCTTGCCACTTGGGATGCCAAGAATGGGTTTTACACGGTAACACTAGATCACACGTGATTTATCATTTCGGTGACATCAATGAGCATGTTAATCACTTTGGTGACATCAGCGAGCACGAGAATGGCGTTGACAAACCAAGATTATTAAAAACCGATTTAAATCACGGTAATCGGATTTTGGCCTGACTAATTGCGCTTTTGACGACTGGGCCACTCGTTTCCCCTACTACAATACCACAATGAAATCATTTTAACGTATTTTAACGTATACTAGTATAGAGCGAAAGTCGACGTCTAATAAGCATTAAGATTTCACTTTAAATTTACCGAGTTCTGTCCGTGAAAACCCAGTTGAACCTGACATCGATGCGGGACAATGGTTTCCTTTTACGTCTCCTTACAGCGCCACTGCCTACATCAGTATTGTTGCCGAGTCCCTCGTTGCTGTCAGGAGCCAGCGTTGCGTTCCAAATAGGCGTCGGGGAAGACATGTTGCCAACATCAGTAGTGTTGCCGAGTCCTACGTCGCTGTCAGGAGGTAATGTTGCGTTCCAAACAGGCGTCGGAGAAGTCATGCCGCCAACATCCCTTCGTCTCCTCAACAACAGATCAGAAGCTTTGGTCGGTTCAGGTTTCTCCGATAGCTCGCTACCTTCATTCGCATATTCCCCCACCAATTCAAGGTCAACAACTCCTTCTTCGTCTAAATAGTCTTCTTCAAGGTCAAGGTCATCACCATCTTCATAGTAGTAGTAATACTCCTCGTCTTCCTCATGAAAATCATCGTCATCTGCCTCAATGGCACCACATTTCACGTCGACGTTTTCAACAGTACATTTACCATCGTCGCAATCGTGAGTTGATGACTCAATAAGATTCTCTAAAAACTTATCTGCGATCTCGGAATTGTCAGAGCAGTTCCCTCCATAGTAGAACAGATGGGACGGAAGGTTGTAGGAGTCAGGGAATACCAATGCTGAAAAAGAATGAATTTTTTATGGTCGGTGTGTCAAACAACAATAAGAAAATATGGCGATGAGTAACTGTTGCTTTTGCTCACCAGGTACATCAAAAGTGTTTGTGTGTTTGTTTGTTTAATGCCACACTCAGCTATATTCCAGGTATATCAAGGCGGTCTATAAATAATCCAGTCTGGACCAGACAATCAAGTGATTATGGTAGTGAAATCGTTTTGTTATCAAGTAAGGAAAAGTGTTTCTGGGAACTGCGGCCTGGTAGATGGGAGAGGGCAGAATAGTGTTGTTTTCTTGTTCCTATCCACAGTTCCATCAATGGCACATTTGCAATACAGATTAAAATGTGTTCAAGGAGATTTTGTAAAAATATTTTCCCCGAAAGAATAGTTTGTCTTAGTCGAAATGTACATGCAGGGATATATTTTAGAGGCTGCCAAAGCCCTTCTGGGACGCAAGAATTGTTGGTCTATTCAGCAGTGTGATAAGTGGGACGCAACTAAGATCGCATTTCTTCCGCAGGTTCAGCGTTTAGATTTTGGTGTACGTAAAACAATCCTTTATATATTTAAATTTTTCAGTAATTTAACTAAAAATCTACCTCTTTTATGGCCTAGGTACCTGTTCTTCGCCTTTAGCCTTAGCAGAGCGAATTCTTGCATATGTTTTTGTTAAGTAGGATTCGGGATTCAGGGGTGAGGTAATATTAATCAGTCAGAAATTAATGGGGTTTTTTTATTCATGGGTGTGGATGGTGCCACCTTCTGCGTCTTATAAATAACCATAGACCGATAAATCCAAATGATATCTGAATACAGTAAATGTAAACATAATGACTAGGACAAAGTTGCTAGTTCCAAGCTGTTACCAAAGGTACAAACGGGTGTAGGGTCAATCACTTGCAAATCACAAAGCCATCGCTTCAATTCAACTTTTTTTAATGCTTTCGGTTCCAGAAACATTCTTCATAATGATCGAACCTGCAAATTATATTTTTCATTAAAATATCGTTGATTTTTTCTTTCTTTCAGTTTGTAGGATGAAGAAAACAATGTGATAATGGGAAAAAACTGTAGTTGTAGTTCATCCTTGTTGGCAAGTAGGTTTAACATAAACAGAACTTTCGCTGTAACTCGGTCAGTATATTCTAGTTTATCATGTACTTAATACGTACTGGAACAATCAGGTACGTGAGATGAAGGCAGCCACCCTCCCTTGGAGCCGCATATGTATGTATTGCGGTAGGCCTTGTCACCCGGGACATCATGATCAGCATGGCATTGAGCCTGACAGGTTTCTCCTCCGAAGATCTTGTCACATACAAGAGCACCATTACTTGGCGGCTTCAGATCGGGGCATGCTTTCTCTGAAACAAAATCCAGTATACAGTTGGACATTGTGATGATGCTTTGTGTATTGCTTGTGTGTAGAGCAGGACATGCTTACACCTTTCGCTAACGCCAGGTGGCATGGCTGAGTTTCAGTGAAACATTTATACTATTTCATCACTATTTGGCCTTTTTACGCCGAATGGCATCTCTTTCGGCAGATAAACGAGACTTACTATTCATTGACGTTTAATATTTGAGGTACCGACTGGGGTACCATTTGTACGGAAGAGCGAGTGAGTGACTTGGGTTTAACGCCGCTTTTAACAGTATTCCAGTTATATCACGGCGTGTCAGCTTAAAATGGGAGGAAAGCCCGAAGTGATGCAGGTCTCAGACGTTTATCTCTTCGGTGAATCCTACGAGCACGGGTATGGTGCTGACAAACGTAGAAACATAATCGGGACGAATCGGGATTCGAACCCACAATCATAGGTTTCTGGCGTGTCCACGGGACGCAACTCTGCACAGCGAATCGCGGCGCCTCAGACGACTGGGCCACCCGTGCCCCCTGTACGGAAGAACACCGGCGCACGGTTTCCACAGTGAAGGGCAAACTGTAGTCGTTGTTGCATTTTAACGCTTCATGGGAAGGGACCGCAATCCAACATCTTTGTCGGTGACTGCTGATATCCATCCCCGATTATCCAGTGATTGTATCTCCATTCTATAGTTATAAATACATTCGCCACCATAGCGGAAGTGGCGTCACCATCTCAGCTTCTCTTATCACAAACTCGCACAAAATTTCATGAGGTTGAAGTTTAATCGAGTCAGAATACTGTTTAAAATTAACGTTTAGCTGGGAAAATATATTTTCCATGCGCATTAAGATGAGGAGGATGTCCTTGTACTGAAATGCGTTTCCGGTTTTATTTGAGACGGCGAGTCTTGTTCTGGTGATAACAACCGCTTATTTCAGGCTAAAAACCAAGCATGGTGGCAGGGTATATATGTGACCCGCCATGAGAAAAGGTTTGAATCCTTGTTAGATGTTATACAAAAATATGGTGATATGTTTATCATGCTTGGAGGTGACTTTAATTCCCGAACCGGTAATGAGCCCGATGCCGCAGAGAGTGATATTGCTGAAAGGCTTGGCATCCAGGAACCTTCTGATATTTATGGCAACGTGATCACCAAACGTTTCTCTTGTGATACTACTGTTAATCGCCTTGGTAAGATTTTACTAAACGTATGTAGTGCTTTCAATTTGTGCATTTTCAATGGCCGATGTGGATCAGACGCGGCAAAAGGTGACTATACCTTCATCAGCCACAATGGCATAAGCGTAATCAACTATATTGTTGCATCCCCTTCATTGTTTAAGTTGTGCAAACAGTTTGACATTGCAAATAGAACAGAGTCGACCCATATGCCAGTTACATGTTCATTTCACGCACGTGCCAAAGCTGGATCGAGAGACCGTGAGCGTGTTGCACGAGACCCAGGGGACAGCTACCGCTTTGTGTGGAACGAGGACAAAACTCAAACTTTTAGAGACAGTTTACTGTCTACAAATTCTATTTCAATGCTTGACAAGTGTTCAGATTTTATCGCTTCAGGTAAAATTGATAAAGCAGTTGAGGTATTTTCAGATGTTTTATGTACCGCTGCGAAATGTATGAAACGCCCTTCTTATATCTAGAAGTAAACAGCCATGGTTCGATAAGGAGTGTGAATACCACCGCTGTGAAAGATATAGGCTTCTTAAGGTTTTCCGATCACTAAAAGATTCGTCATCACTTTGTAACTTTATTAAGGCAAGAAATACTTATACACATGTTATCCGTGAAAAAAAGAAGTTATATCAAGACAATGCACAGAGTACCATTTTGACTAACTTGGATAATAGTAAAATATTTTGGGCAAATTTGAAAAGTCTGTCTGCTACCACTGTCCGTCCTAAGCCAAATATAAATATTGAGCAATGGTTTTCACATTTTAAGGGGTTGTTCGATTCAGAAATGGGGGATGAAGATAACACTGTGCCAGATAACAATTTTGATGACTTAACTCAATCAATCTTAGACTCGCCAATTGAACAGCAGGAGGTAATTGAGGCAATTAACAAATTGAAAACAGGCAAAGCTTATTGCTGAAATGTTCAAATACGCATGCGATGTGTTAGTTCCCTATATTACCTGTCTGTTTAACGTTATGTTTGATTCCGCTTATTTTCCGATTTCCTGGTCGACTGGCCAAATTGTACCATTACACAAGAAAGGGGATACTAATACACCCGATAACTACCGAGGGATTACAGTATTAAGTATTTTTAGCAAGCTATATATTTCTGTTCTAAATAGAAGGTTGCAGTCTTGGTGTGATGCCTATGATAAAGTTGTGGAGTCGCAAGCAGGATTTCGTTGTGGCTATTCCACAATTGATAATATGTTTATTTTACAGTCAGTTATACAGCGTTATCTGGGGAAGAAGCGAGGTAAACTATATGCTTTATTTGTAGACTTCTCCAAAGCGTTTGACTCTATAAACAGATCAAAACTATGGATAGTTTTGAAATACAGTGGTGTGTCACCTAAAATGTTTAAGTGTATACAATCCATATATACGACTGTACGTTCCTGTGTAAAGTTTAACAATAACTTCTCAGATGTATTCGATTGTGACTTGGGTGTCCGTCAAGGCTGTGTACTGAGCCCGTTTTTGTTTTCATTGTTTATCAATGATCTAGCTGTTGAAATTGAGGCTAACTGTGAACCCGGAATCCAGCTCCATCCAGACATAATTCAACTATTCCTGCTACTCTTTGCTGATGATGTAATTCTTATATCAGATACTGTGTATGGCCTCCAAAAACGCATCGATGTACTCGAACACTATTGCCAGAATTATTTCCTAAAGGTAAATCTTGATAAGTCGAAAATAGTAGTTTTTAAGAATGGTGGTGTACTTTCTAGATCTGAGAAATGGTATTTCAGTGGTTGTCAGTTGGAATGTGTATCATCGTACAAATATTTGGGAGTTGTATTTTCAAAGAATTTATCATGGTCGAAACATACTTACAGTGCTTCATTACAGGCTAAACGGGTATTGTTCTCGGTTCTAAAATCCCTTTCATCACTTAAACCTATTCCACTGAAACTATTTTTTAAAATATTCGATACTAAAATTGCTCCAATTATGTTATATGGGGCTGAAATGTGGAGTTTTGAAAACTGCAAAGAAATAGAAAGTATCCATGTACTTGCTTGTAAACGTCTGCTAGGTGTTAAAACGTCTACTCCCAATCATGTTGTGCGAGGAGAGTGTGGAAGATACCCACTGTACATTTCTGCGTATAAACGCTGTATAAAATATTGGTGTAAACTTATGTCCCTACCACATTCACGATATCCCAAGAAAAGTTATGATATGTTATTTCAGCTAGCCACACATGGTAAAACTAATTGGGCTACAAAAGTCAAAACTCTTTTATACAGCCTTGGATTTGGATATATGTGGAAGAACCAATATGTTATTTGCCCCGAATCATTTATTTCCGAATGTGAAGATCGGTTAAAATTTGCTTACGAACAGGACTGGCATTGGTCTTTAGCAAATAGTTCTAAAATGTTCCATTATACACTTTTCAAAAATTCATTCAGTCTAGAGTTGTATTTGTCTGCTATCACTATCAACAAATTTCGTGTTGCACTAGCCCAGTTTCGCTGTAGCTCCCACACTCTCCACTGGTAGATACGTTAATACTCCACGAGAGCAGAGATTGTGCAATAGTTGCAACCAAAGATATGTCGATTTATTAATTTGTAACGCTTATGATGAAATTCGTCTTCAGTATTTACCACAGAAGTATTTTGTACATCCTACTCTTGCTAAATTCAATATGCTTATGGCGGTAAACAATGAAACTGTAATTAGAAATGTTGCAACTTTTATATACCATGCTATGAATGTTAGACTCCAAACACTAAGCCTATAAATGTTAATGATGGACCGAATATTGTACCATGGGCCGCTGGCCTACACATGTACATGAATAAAGAATTGAATTGAGAAAAGGTTAAAATTTTGCCATGGCGTCATAAAGACGTTAAACGTCAGCCTACTTCAGTGAAGATCGACCCTTAAGGTCCTTTATCTCGTGGTTTGTCACATATAATGATCAAGTGGAGATGCACTGGATAATCGAGGGTTGCTTATATCTTAAAGGCGATTGATTATCGTTTTATGAACACGGTAGTGTTGCAACAAATTTAAGGCAAGCATTGGTTGCTGAAGACCTACTCTTCCCCGGATCTTCACGGATCAGGCATACATGTAACACTCAGGTGGACCTACTGTGGCACTTCGGAAAGGAGTTGTTGTGTCCCACCCAGATGGAGGCCGGAATGAGGCTGTCGTTCCTCTCACACGTGATGTACGGGTTCCCCAGCACACGGCTGTGTGGACAGTTGGCTTTGCACGAGGAGCCCATGGTGTAGTTGCTGGAATAGCAGTTGAAGATGGGGTCGTAGTCGCCACCACCTACCACGGCGGGCCTGGTACACGGCGGAACTGAAACGGTAGTGTTAAATAGAGGCTATGCTCGACAGATCCACATTTCAGGTTTTGATGTGTTATCAGCGCCCTTTCTTAAAACTTACAAAGAAAAATAAGGGCCGTACCTGCAGACTGTTTTGAGACAAATGTGCTCCAAATCATTGCTAAAATTTAAAGCATGGCGAGATGTTACATGCATAAATTAATGTATATATTGACAGAATAAGGGAAGCTTTAAACTACTCGTCATGCCGAAGGTCCGGGTTCGATTCTCCAAATGGATACAGTGTTTGAAGCCCATTTCTGGAGTCCCCCGCCTTGATATTGTTGATATTGGTAAGAGCAGCGTAAAACTATACTCACCCACTCTATCACTTACGCAATGTTACGAAGGTAAGTGCTTAAATACTGCACGTTAAAATCATGCGTAGTTTGTGGTGTATTGTCTGTTGTTTTACATCATGTGGTAAGTGACCTATGGTGTGTTCTGTGTTGAATGGTATGTGGTGTATGGTTTGATTTGTGTTACATGAAGCGGGTCGGGGTGTACGGTGTAGCGTTTGTTGTATGGTGTGTGTTGTCTTGTGTGTTATATGGAGTGGTGTGTGAGGTACTGTGTAGCGTGTATTATATGGTATGATGTGTGTTGTATGATGTGTGTTGTCTTGTGTGTTATATGGAGTGGTGTGTGAGGTACTGTGTAGCGTGTATTATATGGTATGATGTGTGTTGTATGGTGTGTGTTGTCTTGTGTGTTATATGGAGTGGTGTGTGAGGTACTGTGTAGCGTGTATTATATGGTATGATGTGTGTTGTATGATGTGTGTTGTCTTGTGTGTTATATGGAGTGGTGTGTGAGGTACTGTGTAGCGTGTATTATATGGTATGATGTGTGTTGTATGATGTGTGTTGTCTTGTGTGTTATATGGAGTGGTGTGTGAGGTACTGTGTAGCGTGTATTATATGGTATGATGTGTGTTGTATGGTGTGTGTTGTCTTGTGTGTTATATGGAGTGGTGTGTGAGGTACTGTGTAGCGTGTATTATATGGTATGATGTGTGTTGTATGATGTGTGTTGTCTTGTGTGTTATATGGAGTGGTGTGTGAGGTACTGTGTAGCGTGTATTATATGGTATGATGTGTGTTGTATGGTGTGTGTTGTCTTGTGTGTTATATGGAGTGGTGTGTGAGGTACTGTGTAGCGTGTATTATATGGTATGATGTTTGTTGTATGGTGTGTGTTGTCTTGTGTGTTATATGGAGTGGTGTGTGAGGTACTGTGTAGCGTGTATTATATGGTATGATGTGTGTTGTATGGTGTGTGTTGTCTTGTGTGTTATATGGAGTGGTGTGTGAGATACTGTGTAGCGTGTATTATATGGTATGATGTGTGTTGTGTGGTGTGTGTTGTCTTGTGTGTTATATGGAGTGGTGTGTGAGGTACTGTGTAGCGTGTATTATATGGTATGATGTGTGTTGTGTGGTGTGTGTTGTCTTGTGTGTTATATGGAGTGGTGTGTGAGATACTGTGTAGCGTGTATTATATGGTATGATGTGTGTTGTGTGGTGTGTGTTGTCTTGTGTGTTATATGGAGTGGTGTGTGAGATACTGTGTAGCATGTATTATATGGTATGATGTGTGTTGTGTGGTGTATGTTGTCTTGTGTGTTATATGGAGTGGTGTGTGAGATACTGTGTAGCGTGTATTATATGGTATGATGTGTGTTGTGTGGTGTGTGTTGTCTTGTGTGTTATATGGAGTGGTGTGTGAGGTACTGTGTAGCGTGTATTATATGGTATGATGTGTGTTGTGTGGTGTGTGTTGTCTTGTGTGTTATATGGAGTGGTGTGTGAGATACTGTGTAGCGTGTATTATATGGTATGATGTGTGTTGTGTGGTGTGTGTTGTCTTGTGTGTTATATGGAGTGGTGTGTGAGATACTGTGTAGCGTGTATTATATGGTATGATGTGTGTTGTGTGGTGTGTGTTGTCTTGTGTGTTATATGGAGTGGTGTGTGAGGTACTGTGTAGCGTGTATTATATGGTATGATGTGTGTTGTGTGGTGTGTGTTGTCTTGTGTGTTATATGGAGTGGTGTTTGAGGTACTGTGCAGCGTGTATTATATGGTATGATGTGTGTTGTGTGGTGTGTGTTGTCTTGTGTGTTATATGGAGTGGTGTGTGAGGTACTGTGCAGCGTGTATTATATGGTATGATGTGTGTTGTGTGGTGTGCTAAGGTTTGAGTTGTATGATGGGGTTTGTGTTGTATGGGTTTTTTTGTGTTGTGTGTTGTGTGATGTGTCTTGTATGATGTGATGTGTGTTGTATGTTGTTTTGTGTGTTGTGTGATGTGTGTTGTATGGTGTGATGTGCGTTTGTATGGTGTGATGTGTGTTGTATGGCGTGGTTTGTGTTGTGTGATATGATATGTGTTGCATGGTGTCATGTGTGTTGTAGGGTGTGATGTGTGTAGTGGGTTTTGATGCGTGTTTTATGGTGTGGTGTGTGGTGTATGGTGATATGTGTTGTATGGTGTGATGTGTGTTGTATGGTGTGGTGTGTGTCACATAGTGAAGTATTTGTTGTAGGGTGTGATGTGTGTCGCATTGTGTTGTATGTGTCCTGTGGTGTAGTAGGTGTCGTATGGTGAAGTATGTGTTATATGGCGATGTGTGTTGTAGGGTCTGATGTGTGTCGTATTGTGTAGTATGTGTCGTATGGTGAAGTATGGTTCATATGGTGATGTGTGTTGTATGGTGTAATGTGTTGTGTATGTGGTGGTGTGTGTCATATGGTGTAGTATGTGTTGTATGGTGTGATGTGTGTTGTATGGTGTAGTATGTGTTGTATGGTGTGATGTGTGTAGTATGTGCCTTATGGTGAAGTATGTGTTGTATGGTGATGTGTGTTGTATGGTGTAATGTGTTGTGTATGTGGTGGTGTGTGTCATATGGTGTAGTATGTGTTGTATGGTGTGATGTGTGTTGTATGGTGTGATGTGTGGTGTATGTGGTGGTGATCGGTCTGTTGGGCGGTGTGAGGTGTATACTGTTGTTTGGTGTGATTTAAGACCAGTGCAGGTATAGAGTGTCGTGTGTTGTAAGGAGTGGGTTTTCGAGATACTTGTGTGACTGAAGTATTGGAATACTGTCGCTCCTCACCTTCATAGTTGACTGTAAATGTACAGGACTGAGCGTGGTTTCCGGAAGAGTCAACAGCCCGGTATTCTATCAGGTGCAATCCCCCTGTCAACACTGACCCTGGCCTTTGACCTTTCACCTGGGTCAAGGTGACACTACCGGAGTTGTCCGTTGCCCTGACTGTAGACCATATGTAGGTATTGCTTGTCGTCTTCAACTCTGCCTCAGGGCAGTTTAAGATCTTTGGTCTCTCTGTATCTGAAATGTATGTCTGTCGTATTCATATTGATCCGACCCGTGAAGATTCCGGGGTAGAATAGGTCTTCAAAACCCATGCTTACCGTAAAAGGTGACTAAGCTTGTCGTAAAAGGCGACTAACGGGATCGGGTGATCAGGCTCGCTGACTTGGTTGATGCATGTCATCGATCCCAATTGCGTGGATCGATGCTCATGATATTAATCACTGGATTGTCTGGTCCAGATTCGATTATTTACAGACCGCCGTCATATAGCTGCAATATTGCTGAGTGCGGCGTTAAACAACAAACCAACCAACCATATTGATCCCTGATACCATCATCAACTACAGAAGCTTAACAACACTTTTCTCACATTTTAGCAATTTACATGATACGCCGGTTACTCCCCACAATTCGCTTTCGTCGCTTTGACGTGCTAGAATCCTTAAACGTGGGTTCGAATCCAACATTCGCCAGGATTCTTCTCCTTCTTATTTCAGCACCACGGCTGTGCTCGGGGGTTTCACGTAAGCAGTAAACGCCTGAAATATCCATCACTTCGAGCTTTCCTCCCACATGTCACTGACACTCCGTGACAAACGATGTCGTTCAGAAGCGGTGAAGACATTCACATCAAAGTGTGAACATGTGCATACATCTGATAATAATTTATTGTCAATTGTCACTTGTCACTTGCCTACATTACAAAGAATGATAAAATCATCACTAGGACATACCCACCTGCACACCGCCAGTTTCTGTAATACCAATTCCCAGTCCCATCACACGAAGCATAGTTCATATATGCTGCCGAATATCCTCTTCTCCAGTCACAGTTTAGCGTGCATCTGCTTCCATAGTAGTAGCCACTGGTGCAGGATACACTCAGACCTCTGAAGGGCGTGGATGGAGAACCGCAATATTTCCCTGTACATTAAGCAATACTACCATTATTACTTATAACAAACAATTTCTTACATGTATAACTATAACACTCACTTTATTATGTAATATGATACATTCAACACGTCAGTGTATTACCTACGAGGGCAAATATATCGGGGTACATACAAATCATATGTGCCCTAGGGTCATATCACGTCACGAGACAACATCAATTTTTTTCCGTCATCCAGACGGCGTTATTGACGTCATTCGAATCTTATTGTGACGTGAAGTCGAGATGACGTCACACTAGAAACAACGTCATAGCTGAAGATTGTTGACGTCAGTCGACAAATTGTGGTTCCGCTGCTGTTGCGACTTGCTGTCCTTATAGGACAACACTAAAATTCGTCTCTGTATGTAGACATCTTCCTCGGTAATAAAAAATATGAATAATATGATTGTTCATGTAATACTATGTTTAGACACTCGTGCCTAAATACCGGTATTTCCTGAGCGCTCACTCGGGAAATACCGGAATTTAGACACTCGTGTCGTAAACATAGTATGACATGAACGCTCATATAATAGCCTCTATAATAACATCCATAAAAATGAACTCATGTGAGACATTGTTTTGTTACAAGGGAGATAATTTACATGTATGTCTTGGAGATGCATCCAGAAAAAGGTTGGGGTATACAATATACAACAAATTAAAATTATTTTCAGTTTATTCCATACATCAATGCATCACTTTAAGCAAAACTTCTTTTTTTTCTCTATGTATAAGTTGCTTTCACTCACTATGAATGGCTTTCTCTGCCACTCAACGCAGTGGTGTTGATACACAACACATCATTATAACTCTCGCGAGGGCACGGCAGGCTCAGTGGTCTAAGGTGCCTCAATTCGCTGTGCGGAGTCATACCAGAAACATATGAAAGTGGGTTCGACTCCCGGATTAGCCCTGATCATGTTTCCAGGTTCACTATAACTCGCTGTAACATCATAATCTTTCCCTCGCCAGTCCCAGGCGAGTTCTTCGGTCAAAGTTTCAAAATTCTGCAGTACATTTTGTAGTAAAAACATAACCATTTCCCCCTAAAAAATTAATACAAACTCATTTTTAAAAACTCGAATCCAAATCCGAAACGAAATAATTCCATAATGATGATTATAAAGAATTATCATTTGAAAAAAACATACAATTATGCAAATATCTTTTTATGCATAGTGTCACTGATGTTTACTTATGGCTATGCTTTAACATAATTCATGTAGTCATAATACCACAAGAACGTTTAAAAGTGAGTATAATTTATTTCAAATTTAGATATGGAGTACGCATGGAGTGTGTGCGTGTGAAACGATATATAGTACAAATATTGAACATATTCCAAGATTGTACAGGTAAAATGTTAAACATTATATTTTATCCATAGATTGTACTTCAGTGGCAAGATTCAAAGCCAAACCAACTTTTTGATTTTTTAGAAACGGGAGAAAACCATACATTCGCAATATTCTCTACCATACCTGAATTTGAATGCTGACGATGAAACAGTCAATAAAGTAAATTTTCTTTCACACAAATTTTCAACTTTCTGAGGCTTTTGATTTTTAGAAAATCTTAAATCTTTCCACACTTATAAATTTCTCAAACAAGAAAAGATTTTAAAACGTTGATAATTGACAACAATAGAGAAGGGATGCGTTTATAGAGCCCAAAATACATTTAGATAGGATAATAGGATCATACTTAAACTATAAAAAGCTGTAAACTAATTCATCATGACCCACCAACACAAAGCAATTAATCCTGAATCAGAAACGATTTCTTTACCGGGAACAAAGCAGCCGTAATCCCAAGGAATGATTGACTCGTAGTCAGTTGATATGGACTTGTGATGAAGCGACTGAGTTAGAGCCTGCTAAAGGAACTGCAGTCCTCTGATTCAGGCTTTGCAAGTGGTTACATACAGTGAGTAGGCATTTGACCTCAGACATCTTCATAACAAGAACATATGTTTTGGTTGTCAAACGGGTTGTCGGAGAGCACCTTGTCAATGACTCATGATCTTACAAAAGCTGGGGACGTACGCTTAGAAAACAATAAGGTAGAAGCCTTTGGATTGGTCTAGAATGTTGGAGAGTTATTGCGACAGGTTTGATATTACCGAGCTGCCTATCACAATTCCACCGAGTAAAGAAGTACAGACAAGGTTGGTCTTGTGACTGGCCAATCTTTCAGGACGAATACAATCGACATGCTGTGCAACTTAGGAGGCAAATATCATATTACATCAGTAGAAACGACTTAACTTTGTCGTAAAGTTAAGTCATATAGTATTATCGATGTCATAACTTATTCTCATAGTTTATTCATCAGTTATCGATACACTAGCTGCACTGCCAGTCAATCACATCATTCACCACTCGCACGAATCCACTTACTTCTGCATGTTGGGGTACTTGAGGACCAATACCCGCTCTTCTCACACGAAGTGGAGGAACTACCGTCACGCCAGAAGCCGTAATCGCAGGTATAACTGCATAAGGTACCATATCTTCTGTCCGAATTGTCGCAAGAGACATCACCATAACTGGGATCATACCGATAGCTGCATCTAATCACTGTAAAAATAAAACATCATTCGGGAATAGACAGGATTAGCGATGCCTTACCCCTCCTTAAGTCAAAGGAAAGGCCTGTCTACAACAGAAATGGTTACGTCGCTGTGGTTGACTGTCAGAGTAGGAGGTCAGTTGTCTTCCTAATATATCATGTAATTCATCAAGTCACCCAGTCTGACTGCTTCTTACGCCGAACCTTACGATAAGGAGGCAACAAAGTATACTTTATAACATTTAGAAGCACCTTTTAAATTTCCAGTATTCTACCCAACGGTTTACTCAGTGGCACTAATTCCCATCACTGACACTATACACCGTACATCTTTTATCATCTCACAATGACACTATTCCTAGACACTTCAGCTTCAAATCTCATGACACCAACATCGTACATGCCTACATGCATCACTACTTCCATATCGCATCTCTACCACTAACATCACGCCTCACACAATCCAATCACAAACATATATCATCCCCATACGTACAACACCAACATAACAGCTCCCTACATCACATGACCAACATAACAGCTCCCTACATCACATGACCAACATAACAGCTGCCTACATCACATCACCAACATGACACCGACCTACATCACATCACTAATATATAACATCCATGCATCACATCTTTGACATAACACTGACCTACATCACATCACCAACATAAGAGCTCCCCACATCACATCATCATCATAACACAAACCTACACCACATCAGCAACATAACACCTACCTACATCACATCAACAACAAAGCAGCTCCCTGGATCATATCACCAATATAACACCTACCTACATCACATCACCAACATAACACCTCCCTACATCACATCACCAACATAAGAGCTCCCCACATCACATCACCATCATAACACCAACCTACACCACATCAGCAACATAACACCTACCTACATCACATCAACAACAAAGCAGCTCCCTGGATCATATCACCAATATAATACCTACCTACATCACATAACCAACATAACACCTCCCTGCATCACATCACCAAAATAACAGATCCCTGCATCACGTCACCAACATATCACCTTCCTGCATCACATCGCGGACATAATACCTACTTACATCACATCACCAACATAACACATCCCTGCAAGATATCACCAACATAACAATCTAATACCTACCTACATACCTACCTACATAGCTACCTACCGACATAAGACCATCCTGCATTACATCACTAGCATAACATCTACCTGAATCACATCTCCGACATAACTCCTCGCTTCATCACATCACCCAAATAACACCTCCCTATATCACACCACAAACATAACCCCTTCCTACATCACATCACCAACATAACACCTGCCTGCATTACAAGACCAACAGGACACCTCACTGCATCATGTCACCAACATAACAACTATCTTCACAACATCACCAACATAACACCTTCTTACATAACATCACCAAAAAAACACCACCCTGCATTACATCACCAGCAAAACAGCTCCCTGCATCACATCACCAACCTATATCACACCACTAGCATAACAACTGCCTAGATACATCACCAACATAACACCTACCTACATCACATCACCGACGCATTACGTCACCAGCAATAACAGCTCCCTGCATCACATCACCAACATAACATCTACCTGAATCACATCACCAACAATACACCTCTCTACATCACATCACTACCTACATCACATCACTAGCATAACACCTGCCTAGATCACATCACCGAAATACAACCTTCCTGCATTACATCACTAACATAACAGCTCCCTGCATCATATCACGAACATAGCACCTACCTACATCACATCACTATCATAACACCTACCTACATCACATTACCAGCATTCCAGCTCCCTGCATCACATCACATATTTAATACCTATCTATATCACATCAAAGACATAACACCTCCCTGAATCACATCACAAACATAACACCTCCCTACATAACATCGCCGACATAGCACCACCCTGCATCACATAGTCCACATAACACCTCCCTACATAACATCGCCGACATAGCACCACCCTGCATCACATAGTCCACATAACACCTCCCCTCATTACATAACTGACGCAACACCTACCAACATCACATCATCAACTTAACATCTACCTACATCACATAACTAACATAGTACCTACTAGGATCACATAACCAACATAACACCACCCTGCATTACATCACCAGCATAACATCTACCTGAATCACATCTCCGACATAGCACCTCCCTACATCACATAACCTACACAACAGCTCCCTGCATCACGTCAGCAACATAACACCTCCCTGCACCACATCACCGACATAACACCTACCTACATACATCACGAACATAAGACCTCCCTGCATCATATCACCAACATTACACCTACATACATACATCACCGACATAACACCTCCCTGCATCACATCACCGATTTAATACTATCTACAGCACATCAAAGATATAAGACCTCCCTGCATCACATCACCGAGATAACACCTCCCTGCATCACATCACAAACATAACACCTACATACATCACATCACCGACATAACACCTCCCTGCATCACATCACCAATTTAATACTATCTACAGCACATCAAAGATATAAGACCTCCCTGCATCACATCACCGAGATAACACCTCCCTGCATCACATCACAAACATAACACGTACCTACATCACATCACATCACCGGCATAACACCTCCCATCATCACATCACCGAGATAACACCTTCCATCATCACATCACAAACATAACACCTACCTACATACATCACCAACATAACACCTACCTGCATTACATCACCGACATAACACCTACCTGCAGCACATCAAAGACATCAAACCTCCCTGCATCACATCATCGAGATAACACCTCCCTGCATCACATCACAAACATAACACCTACATACATACATCACCGACATAACACCTCCCTGCATCACATCACAAACATAACACCTCCTAACATCACACCACTAATATAACACCTACCTACATGACATCAACAACTTAAAACCTACCTACATCACATCAGTAACATAAAACCTGCCTTAATACATCACCAACGTAACACCGCCCCCCATTACATCACCGTTGTAACAGCTCCCTGCATCACATCACCAACATAATACCTATCTACATCACATAGACAACATACAAATATGAGCATGGCCTCAGCCCTCCATAATTAAGAATCCAAAAACCACAAAAAAATCCTAATACTTACCGACTCCCTAAGTGGACTGCAAGCCCTTCAAAACAAAAATACCAAAAACCGACCTAAATTAATAAATCAAATACTTAAAAGCTCCAACGACCTAACTAAGCCAGGCAAACAAATAACCTTCTTGTGGATACTCGCCCACGTAGGAATATACGGTAATGAAAACGCCGATAAGGCAGCTAAACTATCCCTCAAAATCCCAGAAATAACCTTAAACTTGCCTTTCTCAAAATCAGAAATTAAAAGCGTAAACAAGCAAAAAATCACCAATAAATGGCATAACCAATAATTAAACTCAAATAGCCAAATCAAAAAAGTTAAATCTAAAGCGCAAGTTAAATCTCCAAAGTAAGTAAGTAAGTTAGTACATACAAATTCCCTGCATCACGTCACCGACATAGCACCTACCTATATCACATCACCAACTTAACACCTACCTACAACACATCACTAATAACCCACCTACCAACATTACATCACTAACATAACACCTGCCTACATACATTACCAACATAACACTGACCTACATCACATCACCAACATAACACTGACCTACATCACATCACCAACATAACAACTACCTACATCACATCACCAACATAACACTGACCTACATCACATCACTAACATAACAACTACCTACATCACATCACCAATATAACACCTACCTACATCACATCACCAACATAACAACTACCTACATCACATCACCAACATAACAGCTCCCTGCATCACATCACCAACATAACAGCTCCCTACATCACATCACCAACATAACAACTCCCTACATCACATCACCAACATAACAACTCCCTACATCACATCACCAACATAACAGCTCCCTACACATCACATCACCAACAGAAGAGCTCCCTACATCACATCACCAACATAACACCTACCCACATCACATCACCGACATAACACTTACCTACATCATATCACCAATATAACACCTACCTACATCACATCACCAATATAACAGCTCCCTACATCACATCACCAATATAACAGCTCCCTACATCACATGACCATCATAACAGCTCCCTACATCACATGACCAACATAACAGCTCCCTAGATCCCATGACCAACATAACAGCTCCCTACATCACATGACCAACATAACAGCTCCCTACATCACATCACCAACATAATAGCTTCCTACATCACATGACCAACATTACAGCCCCCTACATCACATGACCAACATAACACGTATGCCTACATCGCATCACAGCTCCCTACATCACATGACCAACATAACACGTATCACATCACCAGCATAATACCTATCTTCATCGTATCCCCATAATAACACCAACTAACAGCATTTTACAACGCAACACCTACCTACATGACATCACCAACATCGCCCCTCCATACATACATCAAATCACCAACATCACCCATCCCTACATACATCACAAACACCACTCCTCCCTATAGTGCTAGCCCACTGAGATACCATGCCGCAGTTTAACATGAATGCCCCACTCAGACTCAGTATACTGACTCCGAGCCGACCAGTCCTTGTTTTAGCCCCTAAATGGCAAGCACCAGACAGAGTAACAACAAGTACCATCTTTTAACGTCTTTTGGTAAGACGCGGCCGGGGATCAAACCCCGGGCCTTCCGTTCTCCGGGCGGACGCTCTACCACTGGACCACGGAGGCGATCTCACACATCTTAGATAAAGTAAATCAATCGTGTTAAATTGATACAGCGTAAAAGGCACATCGTTCTTGTTGTAAACTGACCATTGATTGTGACGTAGAAAGAGCAATAATCACTGTTCCCGTAGTAGTCTGTCGCCCTGTATCCTACCGTAGTTGTGCCTTCATAGAACCGGGAGTGAGGGCCTGGTCCCCTGGTTTGCTTAGTCCTGCAAATCGTAATGTAACACATAGTTATATGGCTGACTATAGGTGGCAAACGTTCATGATGAATTTTACTCAGACTTATGGATAATCCCAACAAGTATGGTTAAGGTGGTGTGTGACGTATCAGTGCAGATGTTCATATCCTACTGGATAATTGCTACCTTTATAAGACGCGTGGTTTACCTCAACTGCACCCGTAGATTGCGAATACAACATGGATGAAAACGAATTGCACATAGATAATCTTTGTTAATATTATCCACCCTGATGTATACAGACAATTAATTGCACGTAGATAACCTTTGTTCATATTATCCACCCTGATGTATGCAGAAAATTAATTGCATATAGATAATCTTTGTTAATATTATCCAACCTGATGTATACAGAAAATTAATTGCACGCAGATTACCTTTGTTCATATTATACAACCTGATGTCTACAGATGTATACAGAAAATCAATTGCATATAGACTTTCTTTGTTTATATTATCCAACCTGATGTCCACATATGTTTACAGAAACTTAATTGCTCGTAGATTACCTTTGTTCATATTATCCAACCTGATGTATACAGATGTATACATACATTAATTGCACGTAGATTACCTTTGTTCATATTATCCAACCTGATGTATACAGATGTATTCATGCATTAATTGCACGTAGATTACCTTTGTTCATATTATCCAACCTGATGTATACAGGTGTACACATACATTAATTGCACATAGATAACCTTTGTTCATACCACACAACCTGATGTATACAGATGTATAGAGAAACTTAGTTAACATAGATTACATTTGTTCATATTATCAAGCCTGATGTATACATATGTATACATGCATTAATTGCACGTAGATTACCTTTGTTAATATTATCCAACCTGATGTATACAGAAAATTGATTGCACGTAGATTACCTTTGTTAATATTATCCAACCTGATGTATACAGAACATTGATTGCACGTAGATTACCTTTGTCCATATAAAACAACCTGATGTATACACATAGAATGCTAACATCAATACAATTAAAACATCTACGTGTTGTGAATTTCTCGCTATATTCACACTCTAGATTGGTACAAGATGGGTAGTTTAACATAACAAAATAAGGGCCTGCTGTTGATGTCGATCGGGAACTTCGCTCGGTGCATTCACAACCACTTCCATTCAGGACGATGATTGGATTAATCCTTCAGCAAAAGTGTTCAAATGTTAAATACTCCCTTTACCGACACCTAAAACACATGCGACGAAGGGGTATTTTTGTCGTGAAATTATCACAGGTGACCACACATTCTATATTGTAACCTGTGTCACATCCGAGAAAATCGTATTTAGGTTCCATTAATCAGTTGTACAATTTGTTAACAACTGTGCTCGTTTATTTTTCCATATCCAATTCATAAAAAGCCAAGCAAATTACTTGTATTAATGATTGGTAAATAGTGATGCTATTTGCAATCAGCGATGAAGAGGTACCGCGTAAGTATCGGGCATCCAAACGTACCCTTCATTATCACATGTAGACTTGAATTTGTCTCCTTTAGTTACAAAGACACGTTGTTTTCATTTATTCAAATGGACGAAATATCATTGACAGCTTACGCCATCAAAAGTATATACTATGTCTATTACTAAATTCTGGGATGATAAAAGCATGACAATAGATAATGTCATATGTACCTCATCAGGCTATAGGTTTCAGGGCACGATAAACTTTACATGTAATTGCAGCTGACAATTCCTTTTTTTAATTCAACGATAATCAGTTATCAGACATCATAAGCATCGATCCACGCAATTGGTATACGATGAAATGCGTCAAGCACGTTAGCGAGCCTGACAAACCAATCCCATTAGTCGCCTTTTACGACAAGCATGGCCGCCTTTTACGGTAAAGCATGCGCAGAGGTTGATGAAGACCTATTCTATCCCCGGATCACACGGGTCATGTGTGTTTTAAATACCACTGTGACACCACTGTCCGTTGCATTCAAGGCGATGATTGGATTAATCTTTCAGTAAAAGTGTTCAAATGTGAAATGCTCCCTTTACCGACACCTAAAATGCGATGAAGGGCTATATTTGGTGTGAAATTATCACAAGTGACCACACATTCTATATTGTAACCTGTGTCACATCCGAGGAAATCGTATTTAGGTTTCGGTATGACAGTAGCAATGTGTGGAGCACAATAACAAACAAGACACGTTGCTGTTTGTGCAATGTAAACTGAGTGCTATTGGTCTGATACCCTCTGGAATAAAAGCCTTCGCTTTCTTCATTTATAGTAGCGAATACACCGCAAAGCGACATTAGGCATTCCCGGGGAAGGAGAAACGTTGAATATACTCGTGACGTATTGATAATGTCCTGTCTCAGACGTAGCGAAATCATACAGATATGATAACTGGGCGAAATACTCACGTCAATCCTGTACTGAAATCATATCCCTCAGGATCAGTCCAGTAGATCTCAGCAGACAGTTTGTCATAATCGGCTGTGAAAGTACGACTGGAAGGACATGATATTCGTACTGTGGAATATAAAAAAATATCGTCATTATACATTGGAATCCCATAATATCGCTATTTTCATACTGTATTTTCTATGAAGTATTCATAGATAATTTGTGTTAGAGCAATAATTAAGTCTTTTTAATATTTGAAAAAGAGCAAATCATTTTCAAATGTTAATTGTCTTGGTACGTGCAGTTAGCATGTAAGTGAGCTTTTAACCTTGGTTCTGTAATACCACAGCATGTCATAGTAATGAGGAAGGAATGGCCGACGCGATGTAAGTTTTGAAACATTTACCGCTTCAGTGAACCCAACGAGCAAAGATGAAGTACTGAGAAACCAAGGTGTATACATCTTATCATCCAAAACTGGCATCAACAGGTTATGTCGCACGGGGGAGATCAAGCGATATCTCCCAGGAGATATCGCTACAATCAAATTGCTTGAGTCATAATTCTTTACAGACCATCATTCTGTGACATCATTGGTTACTATGACGTCACAATGCCAATCTGCTACTGAAGTTGGTTAACTTAGCTCTACTTTTTACACGCAAGATGCTAGTTATTACAGTTTTCAAATTGAAAAGGTTACAAGACTGATTTCGAAAGATAATTACTGGTATACTCCCCCAAACAGTAGTGGGTATTCGAAAACAACTGACGATTACAGAAATACAATGTGGTATCGAGTGTTGGTAATGGATTGATAAGAAAAAAGGTGCAAACAACCAAGAAAGACGACAGGTATGTGTCGTAAAAAATGAACCTTTGAGATCACTTGATGAACAATGGGTCATGTCCCTACTACTGGTCAAATATTCGTTTATACGGCGTGGCATGGTCCGAATCAATCTCCCAAAGACAATTTGAGAGAGTCTTCTTGTCCACGCCTCCTGCAGATCCTGGCCCATTTCGACTAACATCAGCGGTTGGCCTTCTACCTAGGCGTACACGTGTGGCAGTGTTGTATATAATGTGTAGTTTCTGTATTTTATATATTTGTATACATATAATGTTTTGTAATGAAATGATGTTTTAAACTTTTATTATGTTGAATTAAATTGAATAAACCTGTATAGCTGTTGTATTCTACAGCTCAACAGCAGCATAATGACTTGATCTCTGCGTGGAGTTTTCTTTCATTTAACTTCTTCTGGTTATGGGGTAGAGTAGGTAGCTTGGATCGGTCCTTTATTTAATACAGCTAACGCCTGATTGGCCTTATTTTAAATACTAACACCCAGCATTTAACCAGCAAACTAGCCACTACATCTTGACCATGCTGACAACAAATATCTGCTTTGTGTATTATTTTCAACTGAGACCGTCCTAACGGATGCTGCAGGCATCACAAGTCCTGTCAGTTGTGTTGGTGAACGCAGTTTCCTCCCCAGTTTCACCTACAGGGGCGTTTGTTCTGATAATAAATCCTCATGACAAATAACGACCCGTGTTATTCATGAACACCCCGATCATGTTCCAGATGTGCTTGTCATGCAGCCTTTCTAAGCTCCTGCCCAGTCCTCCCCCCCCCCCCCCTCCCCCCCCCACCCCCACACACACCGACATTGAGTATGCATATTCACACATCTAATGACAATAGAAACAATTAACAAGTACCTCCTCCAAACCTAACTATACACTCTCCCGTGCCCAAGACCTAAACACAACGTGAAATCCTTCAACTCTCTCTCCCCAAAACTATTAATGCAATAGAAACAATTAACAAGTACCTCCTCCAAACCCAACTATACACGCTCCCGTGCCAAGACCCCAAAATCCATCAACTCTGTCTCCCTAGCAATATTAATGCAATAGAAACAGTTCACCAGTATCTCCTCCAAACCCCACCATACACTCATCTCCCGTTAGCACAACTAAGAACACAGCATGAAATCCATCAACTCTCTCTCTCCTCGACAATGCAATAGAAACAATTCACCAGCATCTCCTCCAAACCCCACTATACACTCATCTTCCGTTAGCACAATTTAAACACAACGTCATATCAATCAACTCTCGATTCCCAACAATATTAATGCACGAGAATCAATTCACCAGTATCTCCTCCAAACCCGACTATACACTCATTTTCCGCTCGCACAATTTAAACACAACGTGAAATCCATCAACTCTCTCTCTCCCCAACAATGCAATAGAAACAATTCACCAGTATCTCCTCCGAACCCCACTATACACCCTCCCGTTAGCACAATTTAAACACAACGTCATATCCATCAACTCTCGATTCCCAACAATATTAATGCACTAGCATCAATATACCAGTATCTCCTCCATACCCGACTATACACTCATTTTCCGCTCGAACAATTTAAACACAACGTGAAATCCATCAACTCTCTCTCTCCCCGAAAATGCAATAGAAACAATTCACCAGTATCTCCTCCGAACCCCACTACACACCCTCCCGTTAGCACAATTTAAACACAACGTCATATCCATCAATTCTCTCTCCCCAACAATGCACTAGAAACAATCCACCAGTATCTGTTTCAAACCCCACTATACACCCTCCCGTTAACACAATTAAATCACAACGTGATATCCATCAACTCTCTTTCTCCCCGACAATGCAATAGAAACAATTCACCAGTATCTCCTCCGAACCCCAATATACACTCTTCTCCCGTTAACACAATTTAAACACAAGGTCATATCCATCAACTCTCTCTCCCCGACAATGTAATAGAAACAATCCACCAGTATCTGTTTCAAACCCCACTATACACTCCCCCGTTAACACAATTAAATCACAACGTGATATCCATAAACTCTCTCTCCCCAACAATGCACTAGAAACAATCCACCAGTATCTGTTTCAAACCCAACTACACACCCTCCCGTTAGCACAATTTAAACACAACGTCATATCCATCAATTCTCTCTCCCCAACAATGCACTAGAAACAATCCACCAATATCTGTTTCAAACCCCACTATACACCCTCCCGTTAAAACAATTTAAACACAACGTCATATCCATCAATTCTCTCTCCCCAACAATGCACTAGAAACAATCCACCAGTATCTGTTTCAAACCCCACAATACACCCTCCCGTTAAAACAATTTAAACACAACGTCATATCCATCAACTCTCTCTCCCCAACAATGCACTATAAAACAATTCACCAGTATCTGTTCCAAACCCCACTATACACTCATCTCCCGTTAACACAATTGAAACACAACGTGAAATCCATCAACTCTCACTCCAAAAAAATATTAATGCACTAGAAACAATTAACCAGTATCCCCTCCAAGCCCCACTATACACTACCCCGTTAACACAATTAAAACACAACGTCATATCCATCAACTCTTTCTCCCAAACAATGCACTAGAAACAATTCACCAGTATCCCCTCCAAACCCAACTATACACTCCCCCGTTAACACAATTAAATCACAACGTCATATCCATCAACTCTTTCTCCCAAACAATGCACTAGAAACAATCCACCAGTATCCCCTCCAAACCCCACTATACACTCTCCCGTTAGCACAATTTAAACACAACGTGATATCCATCAACTCTCTCTCCCCAACAATGCACTAGAAACAATCCACCAGTATCTGTTTCCAACCCCACTATACACCCTCCCGTTAAAACAATTTAAACACAACGTCATATCCATCAACTCTCTCTCCCAACAATGCACTAGAAACAATCCACCAGTATCTGTTTCAAACCCCACTATACACCCTCCCGTTAAAACAATTTCAACACAACGTCATATCCATCAATTCTCTCTCCACGACAATGGAATAGAAACAATTCACCAGTATCTCCTCCGAACCCCACTATACTCATCTCCCGTTAACACAATTTAAACACAACGTCATATCCATCAACTCTCTCTCCCCGACAATGTAATAGAAACAATCCACCAGTATCTGTTTCAAACCCCACTATACACCCTCCCGTTAGCACAATTTAAACACAACGTCATATCCATCAATTCTCTCTCCCCGACAATGCAATAGAAACAATTCACCAGTATCTGATCCGAACCCCACTATACACTCTTCTCCCGTTAGCACAATTAAATCACAACGTCATATCCATCAACTCTCTCTCCCCAACAATGCACTAGAAACAATCCACCAGTATCTGTTTCAAACCACACTATACACCCTCCCGTTAGCACAATTTAAACACAACGTCATATCCATCAATTCTCTCTCCCCAACAATGCACTAGAAACAATTCACCAGTATCTGTTTCAAATCCCACTATACACCCTCCCGTTAACACAATTTAAACACAACGTCATATCCATCAATTCTCTCTCCCCAACAATGCACTAGAAACAATCCACCAGTATCTGTTTCAAACCCCACTATACACCCTCCCGTTAAAACAATTTAAACACAACGTCATATCCATCAACTCTCTCTCCCCAACAATGCACTAGAAACAATTCATCAGTATCTGTTCCAAACCCCACTATACACCCTCCCGTTAAAACAATTTAAACACAACGTCATATCCATCAACTCTCTCTCCCCAACAATGCGCTAGAAACAATCAACCAGTATCTGTTTCAAACCCCACTGTACACCCTCCCGTTAGCACAAGTTCAACAGAACGTCATATCCATCAACTCTCTCTCCCCAACAATGCACTAGAAACAATTCACTAGTATCCCCTCCAAACCCCACTATACACTCCCCCGTTAACACAATTAAAACACAACGTGATATCCATCAACTCTCTCTCCCCAACAATGCACTACAAACAATCCACCAGTATCCCCTCCAAACCCCATTATACACTCCCCCGTTAACACAATTAAATCACAACGTGATATCCATCAATTGTCTCTCCCCAACAATGCACTAGAAACAATCCACCAGTATCTGTTTCAAATCCCACTACACACCCTCCCGTTAGCACAATTTAAACACAACGTCATATCCATCAATTCTCTCTCCCCAAAAATGGACGAGAAACAATCCACCAGTATCTGTTTCAAACCCCACTATACA